TTCCCCATTCGAAATTCGTTTACCTTTTCTTTCATAGTAAAATCGCATCATGACGTGTTATTCGCCTTACACGCGTGTGGTCTCAGCTGTCAAAGTTAAGCAATTGAAATAAAGTTACTCCGTGACTAACTTTTTTTAGATTTGTTACATTTCTAAGAAATTTCGTTTAAGTTTTAGTATATTTTCATTTTTATAATTATTTGTTGTTATTTTAGGCTATATAGCCAATTGTCAATAAATAAATACTATTAATTAACTATTGAGCGTTTTTTGGATGTTTTAGTTCGAGTTTCCAATCTTTAAAGTATTGTTGACAAATTATTGGCATGAATGTTATTGCAATTTTTAAATGGAATTTTAACCATTTTAATAATTTTATTGATTTAGCGAAAATCATAAAAACACTTTTGAATGGTGCCAAATTTTACTTTAATGCAATCAATGAAAATGTACGAATACGAGATACGTTCGAGAATACGTACGAGGTATGTTATCAAATTAAAACTCACCTTATTCATTTCAATGATAATAACTAGACATGACATATAATTTTTTCGTACGACAAATTGTAAAGTATGGTTGAAAAGTTGCCGATATTACAAAACGACGCAATAAGTATAATCAATAGTAAAATTAATGAAAAAAGTATAATTATTCTCATTTTGACACAATTGGTTAATGGTGCTTGAACGCTCCCAGGATAGTACATCTGTCTGTTTCTTTCATATGATTTAGCATGTAGTTCCATCTCGCCTTTATCATATTTAATTTAGAGACATGTTAGAGATTTCTAAAGTAGGATTTTTAAGATACGATTACTGTTTACATTACTCATTCATTTCTAATAGGCGTTTATCTGTTTCTTTTAATTTCGGTAATTGAATGATTAAAAACACTATATTATTCACTTGCTGGCCATTCTGTGCGACAACTTATATAATTTTCTTAATATAACTAAATATTTTAGTCCTTCGACTTAGTAATTTTATAAAGGGCAGAATAATACGTTATTTCACATGAATTGTGATTTATTTTTGTATTGATATAGTGGCAAAAACTTTGATAAGGCTTGTATCATAATTTATGAATAATACTTCGTTGTAAAAGATATAAATTTTATGTCTAAAGTCAAATAACTTTTATTTCATAGGTATGCATATTGAAATTGTCATATTGATTAAACTCTACTTGGTTTGGCAAGATTGAGAAGAATGAGCAAGAAACTCCAGGGGTTGCTCTACAAACGTTTGTGCACATTTATCATTTACAATACCAAATATGATTTATCGAGACAATCTGTAAGAGCTAAACAGGTCACTACTATGGATATTTGTCATCCAAGTACACAGCTTTTTTTTATAATATCAAGTGATGGAACGAGCAAGTCATGTGACTGGTGGTAAGCTACACACCTGTCCATAACAGTTGCAGTGCCACTCGGAGCTTTAAATTACAAAGATCTGAGAGGCACGCCACTGCGCCTGTCACCCTGACACATAAGTTGACAAATATCATGTGCCTGTAATTTCACCAGCACCCTTTATAACCGGAACGCGTAATCCTCATATTACTGCTTGGCGGCAGAAATAGGTAAGGCGGCAGAATTTTCCTGGACGAATTCTTTCACAAGGAACTGCTCTGCTAGGAAATAAAGTATATAAATAAATTTCCAAGTGTGAGACCAGATAATGAGGTTGTCTGCCACATAATTATTATTATAATTAATTTTCATTACTATCCATACATCACTGTCAGGGTTTACTACAACTTAGTCCAGTCCGGCCCCTGTAGCATGGCAACGCATGATAGTCGCGACGCGCGCGATAATATTGAAATAAGCGCGCGCTATTGGCTGTCTCAATCAGATTAATTTAGGTAGCCAATAGCGCGCGCTTATTTCAATTTTATCGCGCGTGTCGCGACTATCATGCGTAGCCGTGCTATGGGGGCTGTACCAGAGTTTGCTTTATTGTAGTCGCTATGAGGTAATATATAACTTTTGTTATTAGGTTTTTTATTTTGTACTATCAACGTTGAATACAATCACTTTCACTTTGGACCGTCTTATTGTAAATTAAATAGAGTTGAATTCACATCCTAGCAATAAAGGGAGACATACTGCTGTTGGTGCTTTATCTTTCACCGAAAGTTACCTTTTATAATTTTAGATATATTACTTGTAAAACTCTCGTTAGTTCTGACTGTTGTGTTAGTTAGACTGGAAGGAAACCAAAGCTTTAAGAAGCTTGCGCACGTGCTGATGTAACAAAAATGTTTTATTTTTCCTTTTGTATTAAATTTAATCTGTATTTGTGTCATACTAGTGAATAAAGAATTTCTAACAACACACACACTCAACATAGCCCCGCACTAGGGAAACCCTGTGTCGCGGGTGCCATGGACACACATATAGGCAACCACAAATTACACCCAAACTCACGAGAGAAACAAATGTAGGTAATACAAATATTTCTCCCGGCCCGGGAATCGAACCTGGGACCTCTGCGTGGCAGTCCGGCATGGTAAACGTTCGGCCACAGAGGCAGTTAAATTAAAAAAGTCTTTATTTCAATGTATATCTTCACGGTTGGTCTATTCACTATATTAGGGTCAAGTCAGACTGAAAGAGCAGCGGGCGAAGGAGCATTGGTGCAAAGTATTACTTAGCATTTAGAATCATATCTTCTAAAGAAAAAAGTTCCAATTGATTTGAAGTGATCAAATGTATAGGCACTGCGAGCAGCCGTGAGGCTGCGCGAGATTTGTAGCGTTCACAGAAGCACCGGCTGCTGCTCCTTCGGCTGCTGCGCGCCTGAACTCTTTCAGTGTGACTTGATCCGTCATTCAGAAGATGTATACTGTATTTATGTATGTAAGGACAGCGGCCCATCACCCTTTCCTTTTCACCTTTTCACTTAAGCTTTAAATACATCTTTATACCACTTACTATGAGACAAACCAAAGTGTGGCTGGGGAATCATAATCCTCCGCAGGGGAGTATAACCCTCAGTAGTGAGGGATACGACGTGAGGAGGAGATATGAAATCGACAGTCTCTGATTGCGGTTGTCGGACACAGTCGCCAATTGCCGCAACCGCAATTTATATGAAAATAGAATGTTTGCTTCTAGTTGCCGGTTAGTTGTATCCAACACAAGACACTCGTTTGCGCGGTGCTGTAAGGACGGCAGCGTGGTTTTTAAGTAAGGTTAGGTGGGTTAAGAGGAAGACCAGGGGAAGTGGTACATGAAGCTTTAACTCATAATCTAAATAGTTCAGCACTATAGTCTCTTAGTCGATAAAACAGACAAACAAATTAGTTTAAACTATTTTAAAAAGGTGTCGCCGGGGTCGGAACCGTTGAGGGTATAAGGTGACATTTTAGTCTTGTAAGAAAGAAATTAGTTTACATAATTGATGCACTCGCATGTCCCATATATATATTTACAAAATTAGAGAACATATGCTTTTCTTTTCATATAAAATTGTTTCAACGCATAGTTTACATTGTATGGAAGACAAAAATAATAAAATAAACACTGCAATAAATATTATCTTATCAATATTATCTATTTACAACCATTAGATTTAATTGTATACCTCAAAATTCCGTCACGTTAAACAGTTGTTGTTAATTATTTGCGGACGCAGCGACTGCAGAGGATTTTAATGTACTTGTTTTATCCTACCACAAATCAAAGGAGCTTTCCTCGGCTTGAGACGTACTCGTGCACGATAACGTTGTGTTAATTTGTGTGCTACGTGAAATGCTAGATAATAGTGTGTTACGTAATCTTTTTACTAATTGAATTAAGTATTTGCAGTTGTTTTATGTGCTCAATAGGATTATCAAGCAGGTGACGCAATTAAAGTAATACAAAGTAAACACCTAATTGACATATAATAGCTATCTCATAACATTAGGTTCTACCTATATTATGGATTTGTTTAATGGAAATGCAACATTCAATGGTTTACAGAGTTTATTTATTAACTTCTATTTCTAATGAAGTTAATAAATAAGGAATCTATTTGTTAACTCTCACTTTAAATATGTCAAAATAGGTGATTATGTTATATGTAGAGGTGGGCGTTTAAACAAAAAGCACGTTAAAAAGTTTGCTATTTAAAATAAGCACTGAAGCACGCTTTTTATTTTAAGCGTAAGCATTGATCAGTTCTATAATCAACAATTTAATTTTTTTCAACTTGCCTAAGCTTCAAGTCCCACCATATGTTTCCTAAACAAATTAATTCGTCAATGTGAATAATAATTTTGTAAATAAAAATAAAACTCCTGTTTTACAAATAAGCTTACTTAACTTAAACCTTTAGTGATCTACTCTTGCTTTTCGCTATCAATACAAAGTTACAAGCTTTTTCTAACATAAAAGTCTATGCTATTAAACGTTTTTCTGAACGATTTTTTAAGCTTCAAACTAAAAAACGTTTAAGTGAAAAAGCTTTTCAAAAAAGCACGCTTTTTTAAAAAGCTGCCTCTAAACGTTTAAAAAAATAAGCAGTTTTTCCATCTCTAATTATATGAGTTAATGCAATACTGTTTTTATTACTCGACTTTAGGCTACTTATCAAATTCTACAACAAATTAATAAATATAAATCTTTGTTTTCTTACATTATTATAAAAGTCATCATCATCCCTTTTATACTTCTCACTGCCGGGCACGGGTCTCCTCTCAGGCGAGGGTTTAGGCCATTGTCCGCCACCCTGGCAATGCGGGTTGGGGACTTCACACGTTTTCCAAGAGTTGTGAAACTTCTTCAACGTGCAGGTTTCATCACGATGTTTTCCTTCACCGAAAATCCCATGGTATATTTCAAATTCCGAAAACTCAAGTGGTTCGCGCCCGGATTCGAATCCACGGCCTATGCGTGAGACGCGGTAGGCCAAACCATTGGGCCACAACGGCTTGACTTGATTATATAAGTAATCTATAATTATTACACCATCATAACTTATACTATATGACTGTGACCACAGAAGTCGTCGGTAAGATCGTCATTCCGGAGGGCGCGCGCGGGCGCTGCGCTGTCGCCTCCGCGCGCCGGCATGGAGCGCCTGCGCCGCTCGTTCCGCGAGTCCTTCCGCAAGTAAGTTACCCGACAACTGCTTGCCAGCTACATTTACCTTATGCTTACAATATAAGTTGTTTAATCTAACGACTACTCTCCGAACAGCAACTCCCAAAGTTAGTATGAAATGAAGGTGTCAGTATAGTGTGCCGCCTGTAAGTAGCCTTGTCACCCGACTTGGCTGTAGTAGCTTCACTAATAACAGAAAATCGACTTTTGTAAAACCCGTGTTACAATGACTAGTTCACTACAAATGAAGCATTCCTTGAAAATCTTACTTTTATTTTCACATTTGCAGACGTAAGGGCTCGCCGCCAGAGTCTGCGCGACCTCACCAATGGCACGCTGACGAAGCGGCCGTCAGGGCCGGCACTTGTACCTTTCCCGTTAAGTACCTGGGCTGTGTCGAAGTCTTCGAGTCCAGGGGCATGCAAGTGTGCGAAGAGGCACTTAAGTTACTTAGAGTGAGTATTATGTCATCACCAATTATGTCGGTATAATCAGACTTTAATTTGAAGCCATCTTGTAACTGAATAAAATAATCTTGCGAGCCCAAGAGAGTAAATTATTAAAAATGTTTTAATTGCAACATTACTTTTACACTTCAGAATTCACGACGGCGTCCCGTGCGCGCGGTGCTACATATAAGCGGGGATGGTCTACGAGTGGTCGAAGAGGAGACCAAAGGTTTAATAGTCGATCAGACTATCGAGAAGGTCTCCTTCTGCGCGCCAGACAGAAATCACGAGAGAGGTTTTAGGTTAGTATCTTTTACTGAACAGTTTGTAAAGTAAATTTCTAAATATTTATTTGCAATGTATATCATGATGTTCTTCCTTCTACCTCGATATCCATATATTTTTGTGAAAATACTCCATTAGTTTGTCATTGTTATTGATAAGTTTCTAATCATAATTGTTAGTTTTATCCATAGCTTATAAATATATCCCAAAATGCTTTTTAACGAGCTATTTATCGATCAAGGATTCATCAAACAGTCGTATCCGAGCGACAATTTTAGTGAAGTATAGCTCCTTGTAAAAGAGTTCCTCCAGGGAAGTACTACCTTACCTATTTCCGGCGCCAAGCCGTAATGTGAACATTACTGCGTTCCTGTTTAGAAGGGTAAGGGTGCTGGTGAAATTACAGGGGCATGGTATTTATCAACTTATGTCTCAGGGTGACGGGCGCAGTGGCAGTTTCCATAAGATCGTCGCGATTTAAAGCTCTGAGTGGCACAGCAACTGTTATGGATAGGCGTGTCGCTACCATCAGGCGCACGACGTGTTCGTCCCGTCAGTTAATATTTACTAAAAAAAATACCGTACCGCGATGACAATTTCTAATGATTATCGCACCTGTTAAAGTATTTCAAATTTTGGTATTACAATTGCAGCTACATCTGCCGCGATGGCACAACGCGGCGATGGATGTGCCACGGGTTCCTAGCGTCTCGCGATAGCGGCGAGCGATTGTCACACGCGGTTGGGTGCGCCTTCGCGGCTTGCCTCGAACGTAAACAACGCCGCGATAAAGAGTGCGCCGTTTCTATGAGCATCGATGCCGCCTCACATGCCTTTACTCGGCAGGGATCATTCCGAAAATCAAGTGAGTAATATTTATTTTCACTCCTCGTGCTCTAAAATTACGTCGATATAGCCTTACCTACCGGGAGTAAAGGGCGTCCTTTAATCCTTAGGGTGTAAAAAGTACGTAATTTTTTAATTTACTTCAAGTGAACAAATTCAAACAGCCTCATCAGAACGCCTTTTCCGCATAGACGGTGGCGTAATTTTATTTTCCCGCGTTAGTGCGATTGTTGTGTCTGTGTCTGGTTGGAAAAAAAATTACGCGAAAACTTCATAAATTTTCTTAACGATTTTTTTTTCTCGTAATCGAAGTGAAAAGTAAAGTGTTCACCTCGAGACTAAAAGCCAATATAAACCCTCGCAGTCTTACTACAAAAACGTTTAAGGTATGTAGTTATTTACCAGATGTTTAGAAAAAGTAGTACCATAAATTCGCGCCTAACCATTGTTTTGGTATGGACAGCGGTTGGACATTGTTTAAATTTAAACCACTGCCAGATGTTACTTTAACGCGTGTTTTAGCCATCGTGTTTTGTCTTTTCGTTTATTTGTGGTGATTATTATGGATATCTTGAATTTTATTGATTCTTTTGACATGGACGATATGGATTATATGGATATGTTTGAAGTCATCGCGAGCGAATTAATCCATTTGAGTATTACGATGAAGAGAAATTTCTAAAAAGGTACAGATTGAGTAAAATCTTCGGATCATAACATGTAGAATATAGACGTCGACGAATGCAGAGAACACAGGTGCCTTCTACATTAATAGAAAATATTCTAAGAAGAAATTTCATACAATAACATACACAATAACATGTTTGATATAACAAATTTATTAATAAAATTTGGACAAAATCATGCCCTTTTTATTTCAACAATGGTATTTCAAATTTCTTTTTCCCCAACTTTTGTTTCTTAATTTATTTTTCGATCATCAGTACTTCAATTAGTAACTTGTGTCTTACATCCTGGTGACACAATTCTTTAATATCGGTGCTCTCTTTCTTTGTTTGTAAAATAGTAGTTTTTGGCTTAATCTGAAATAAATAGCTAGAGTTGTAGTAAATTATGTGCAAACATAAAAGAAGATATTTATGAATTACTCTCTCAACTTTGCGTTTTTTGCTTTCTCCTTTCTGTTGCATTCTTTGTTTTTGTGCTATATTATCAATAAAACTCTTGGGTAATAGTTTACGTGCTCTTCCGGAGTATTTAGGAATTATTATTTTAAATGCTGAGATAAAAATCTGTAGCTAAAAAATAGTACAACTGCATTACCTCCTCATCATTTATTTAGTAAAGCACTGGAAATATAACCCTTATGGCAAGGACTTGAATATTATTTCTATAGCTTTAAACTTTTGCGTCTTGAATCCAATTATCACCCTCGCGTTTTTTAACCATTTTAGATACTGTTTACCGATTTAAATACAAAAGGCACGAAAAAAGGCGAAAGTTTTTTTTTTTAAAGAAACCAACTGTCACTAATATCACACGCGCTATCAGTCCTCTCTGAGGGTCAGGTAAAAACTACGTTCCGTTACGCTTTACCCAATAACAATAATAAACAGGTTTAAACGGTAAAATAAAAATAAAAAACATTTTAACAAATTCTTGTACTGCATTGTACAACTTGCAAATATTATGTTGTTTTATGTATATTATTTTATAACAAAACATTGCTAATTATTTTAAAATTGTTAATAAACCACTGTTGGATCTGCGTAAAAGAGAAAAGATGGGGACAAACGGCGAATGACTGAATGAATAAATTCTAGTGCTGCTATAGATGAATATTATTTCTGTGCTTATACTTTGTCTACAAAGACTGGCGTTAAACACTGTTTTAATCAATGTTTAAATAGTTAGTCACTGACTAAGTAAACCCATGTTAAAAGGGTGATTATTAAACCTTTTACCACCTGGCTAAAGCTCAGGTGGCTACCCGCTTCGGGTATATATGGCTTCGTTTAGTCCCTCGATAAAAAATGTACTATTTTATAATAATAATATTTATTTCATTCATATACACATACATTAAAATAAAAAACAGTATGTTACATAAAACAACAAACATGTGCTAGTTATAAAATTCCCGAGTCCCAAACTAAGCTGAATAAACTGAACATCATACATAATGTTTTCCTACTATGATATTGTGAAAATACTCCGATGGTTTGTGATTATTATTGATACGAAGATCGGATAAACAAAAAGAAAAATTCCAGCATGATAACACGAAGAGAACCCCATACCTTTCTAAATTAGTTTTAATTATAATGACCCTCTCTACCGACCCCTAACGTATACGAGAAGGGTACTATGACCTGCGCGAGTTTGCCCGCGTGGGGCCATCTACGTCAGTCCTAACCCCACAACAGCCCGTTTGCATGGACTTCATCAGGCACCCGTCGCGCTCTGCGCAACTAACGGTTACCGACGTTGTCGGCCACGAAGACAGTCGAATCCAATTTATGTAAAAAACAAATTTATGTAAAAAAAAATGTAATTGCAGCAATAACCGCTCGTCGTGCGTCGGAAGCCGACGCGACTGTATCCCCTGCGGTGGTGCCACCGATGTCGGCGCCGCCCCGCCCCACTGCACACAACCCATTCGCCGTAGAAAGGCCGCACGCCGCGCCGCATCTACTCGAGAGGCAGGGCTCCTTCCGCGGTTTCGCGCATCTTAACAACAAGTTAGTACATGTACACAATACCCGTCACTGTACAACATTAAAGGCTATCAGCTCAAAAGTGGTGTAATCCTCATTAATATAAATAATATGATTTTTTTATACATGAAAATAGCATCAAATATAAATTACTTACTTTATAATATAAGTACTTTATAGTACTTTAATATCATTTAAAATAATATTATAGAAACACAATTTATAGCTTCATTATTTACAAAATATTTTTAGAGTAAGCATTTTCGTTATGTCATCTCATAGATTGTGTGTTGAGTTCTTTAAGGGTGCTATTCTAAAGCATAGCTATCGATAAATAATTAACCTTACTTAATAATCTTTAAACTCAAAAGATAATCTGTAATCAGCTATGTCACCCTATGCTCGGGAATGTCAAACTAAGAAAGAACGTTCAAACGACTTCAATCTATTATAGACATGACCATTCGCATGTCCCAAACAAATCACTATCAATAGTGATAGTGTTTTGTTTTAGTGTTGAATTTTATCAAAGAGTGTCTGTACCATAGTACCGTGGACAGACGTGACAGTCTATGCCTGTGGAGAATGAGCCAGACAGGCAGATAATATCGAATGTTTACCAATGGTATTTATCCATAGTTGAGGAATTAATGTAAAGCCCCTGGCAAAGTCGCTATTAGTTGCACAATACTATAATACATTTTGCTTTGACCCAGGGCCTTCCACTTACTATTTATAATTATTATATTACTCAAAAGAAAAACAGAAGAAAAAGTAGTCGAGTTGTTGAAATTATTGATGTTATGTACTTTTCCTTGCGGAAAGGCAAAGAAAGATCTTTAGACCATGCAGTCTAGTCTTTTTTTTTATATTTTTAAATTTATATGTGGTTACCATAGTAACTATTTTATTTACTCATATTGTCCTTACTCTGTTATTGTGTAGTCAGAGCAATCTGTTGCTTATTAATCTATGATATTGAAGTGTTGTGTCTTCACCGCACATCAGTGAAACACAGCATGTGTATGGAACGCCGCATCTAGTACACTAATACATAAATATCGTTGGTTTCAAACGAATTCCTACTCTAAAGTTACGTCTATTGTGCACGTTTCCAGTTCGCCATTCAAGCGTCAGATGTCGCTCCGCATCAGCGAACTGCCGTCGAACCTGGAGCGGCAACGACTCGGCCTCGGCTCTCCGCCGCGCCTGCCCACGTTGCCACCCATACAGTCGTCCACAGCAGCGCCGGTTAACAATAACACTTCTGTCCTATCTGACTCACTTGCGCTGGAGATTAATGGCGAGGTTGGTATTTTGTTTTATAATACCAAGTGACCGGACGAACAAGTGTGCCTGGTGGTAAGGGCGCGTTCCCATTATGTCGTAACGTTTTATTTATTGTTAGATGACTGTCGCGTCTAACCTGTTCCCATATCACGACTGTCGTGTCTAGATGTTCCCACTAAATCGTGACGGCAATTTATAGGTTCGCGGCAGTCGCCTTGTCATTTGCACGACAGAATCGTATGAAGCTGTGATTATCTGTCTTCACATTTTTATCGTGACGTTTTATTTATCGTCAGTCTGTCGTCGTAACGTCAAAAAAGTCTTAAAAACTTCATTTAAGTATACAAATCACGACTTTTTAAACTGCACGACTATCTGTAGTCACGACATAATAGGAAGACGCGACAAGCCTATTCATAACAGTTGGATTGCGACTCAGGGATTTGAATTGTCACCGTCACTCTGAGACATAAGTTGACAAGTCCCATGTGCCTGTAATTTCACCAGCACCCTTACCCTTCATAATCGGAACGCAGTAATACTAATACTAATGAGTATTTATTTCTGCCACCAAGCAGTAATGACTGCTTGGTGGCAGAAATAGGTAAGGCAGTACTTCCCGACAGACGAACTCTTTCACAAGGAGCTCTACTGCTACTAAGTTGCTACTGATTGCAAATTATTTCTCTTCAAATTTTTTTTGAAGTACGCTCACTCGTTTCTATTATAACTATATGAAATTAATCAAAACGTTTGTTTGTAATAAGTAATAAGGATAAATAATTAAGTCATTTATCAAATTCTATTTTACGTAAAAATAGTTAGTTATAGGCCTTTATTATTATTTGCAGGACAAGCAACCTGAAGATCCAGTGGCAGCGATGTGCCAACAACTTTCAATGGGTCTGCGCGCCCTGACAGAGGAGCAGCCAGTGACTGCTGTGCCTGTGGCTCCAGTGGCCCCAGCACCCATCGCAGCGGCACTCCCGCACCCAGACGCTTGGCTGGGCCGAATCGCGGGCGTTAGAGCCCCTCCATTGGGGGCCACTGGCCGCGCCGCTTCCTACGCCGGCCATTCCACTAACCCGTTCCTCACACCTACTCCCGCCCCCCTTTAAATTCCCGAGCTACCGAGTATTGTTCCTAATTAGTTGACAACGAGCGATTACGCTCACCACCAGAGTCCAAAAATTTATCAAAAAAGATCGAGAGACCGAAGTAGTTGTCGCCCGTCACTTATTTTAGATTTCGAATTCTTTGAAATCTACCTTGAAAATAATCGTTACACGCATATGTATCGTTCTAGTTTCTAAAGACCAAGCTTCAAGAATCATTCCTGTTTTATGGAAATGGTCGAGTGTTATTATAACGAAATGCACGTGTTTTTGTATCATATTTTATATAAATATCCGATGATTCTATAATATAGAACGTCATGGCGTAGCCTTAACCGAATGTTAACTTTGAGTCAAAGCCTTAGGCTAATTTTAATCACGGTAGCGAAGTGATAAGTGGAAAAATCATAATGTCGAATAATACATTAGAAATGATTAGAATGAAGAAAATTAATAATGCATTCGTTCATTTCCGTATAATTGAATAACTCCCCGAAGCTTCAACATTAGAAAATAGCACTGTATTCTTGCGATTTTGTGTAACGAGTAGCACTTGTGATTAAGTCCTCAAATCTTTTATTCGCGAATTTCGCCTTTATTGAAAACGTCCGTATTCGACGCTGAGATGGTATTTTTGACGTGGTTATCGTTAGTACGTGCTGATAGGGCCGGTTCTTGCCAGTTTCATCCTAAAATGTGATTATCACTAGGAGCCAAATTTAAGTGGTCAATCAAGTTGTACTAAGGTACACTTATTTGGCCAGAAAACAAATTCAAATCGATGTGAGTTAAATTTATTCGCGAATTGACCGAGTGAGACGTTGTAGCTTAAATTGTTAAAATCGTATTTCGAGCAGTCTTTAACTCGATGTATTTTGAAATTGACAAATGGTCTTAATGTGTAGTGTAACGTGGTAATGCACTTATGAGTGGAAGGCACAGAATATCTAGAAATATTCTTCAATCCGTAGATTTACTTATTTTCAAAAGGTATGTCACATGTTCTGCACTTCTAAGTCCTAATGAATAGTGGTTTTCAGGCGAATTGGTGATATTTATAATAAATTTTCCAAAGTGTACACGTTTCGACGAAGTCACAAAATTCTTGACTTAAAAGTATTTTTATATTTTGACTCCGATGCCAGTTGCGTAGTAGACCAGATTCTGAAGATTATTTATGGAAAAAAATATAACTGTTGTATTTGAGGTGTTTAATTAAATTGGAGTTGTGTATATCTGACGCGTAGCTAAGTAAATATTGTACTTAAATTATCTCGTCCAAATGCACCGTGCTTCTGCGCTGCACACTATATCAATGTGCTATCGCTGTGTAGTTGAATTGAACGTAAGTCGTCGCCAGGCGTCGTCCAAGGACAGTATTACGAGCCAGTGGCGATCTTTTACAGCAGAACGAACAATGCAGTATTTTAAAACTTAACATACTTCTTAATTGTATTATAGGGTTTTGGACATATTTTCCCTTTTTTGTATATAATTGTAAATTTGTAGGATACATACCGATTGTGGATCTGTTTTTATACTTTTTTTATTCTTGAATATGTCATAGGAACAGATGGGTAGAGATAGAGTTAATTTTATTCTTATTGCTATTTAATTTTCATTTAGCAAAATTCATACGTACTTACATGTTGTTCTTATATAGTTGTACTTATGTTACTTTTTAAGTTATTCTGTTAATTTTATTTTACTCGGCTTATTGTTAAGTCAGCCAGTTTCGGTACCAGAGATGAGCTGATCGGGCTGATGGGTGATATTGATGTACAAGCTAAAACGTTTATTTATTATTCATTAGTGAAATGAGATGATAACCGTTTTTTTTTACTCTACTAATCTAGGGCCCTACTCTCGAAGCACGAAATCCGTAGTTACGGCTGTTTTCCCACAGTGGATGACCTACGGACTAGAGTTTCGATCGGAACTAGAACTAAGAATGTATGATGAAAACGATTTGGCAGTTTCGAACGGGCCCGTCGTTTTGTTGACAGACTTCGAGAGTAGTCCCGTATTTATTCCTAGTGGGGAAAACGGCCGTAACTACGGATTTCGTTCTTCAAAAGTAGGGCCCCTGTTGTGGGAAGTGGCGGGTATAACAGTGTATACCATATACGTACGTCTTGTTTAACAACAGTATTCTAAAGGAACAAATTAATTTTACACCAAATTAACAATATCTACTGCATATTTACATTCCAGGCTGTTCGCTAAATTGAGGAGAGAAGTAGTCTAAAATAATATAACGCATATCACTAGCTAGCGTTGCATAAATATAATCGCACGTGTACTTACACATATACTTAATGATATAACAAAATATTTAGTACCTAATAACGTACTCTAAATACAAGTAAATACTCAAGTTTATGAAAATTTGCCACATAATAGTGAATATTTCTGTGTCTCCTGAGTTAGCAGCAGATGCAGATGACTGGCGTAATAATAGGGTGGTAAGATTGACAGAATGCCGAGGGCCCCCAGCACAAAGGAGCTCCGACCCGTGGTTGTAGCTGACGTTTAAAAGCTATGAGATATTATGGCGCTTTTACACCAGGTCGACAGGCGACCACCGCTTGCCCGCCAAAGACGGCAAGCTACCCGTTGCAAATACCGAGTCATCTGACGACCGCAGTTCGCAGCCGAAGTCACTAGGTGTAAACGCGATATGGTTGCCTTCGGCAAGCGACTGTCGACTGAACCGTTTTCAACGTGTCCGCGGCCGCTATAGTTTATTCTCGCAATTTTTGTTTTATTCCCCAAACTGCGAGAATTTTGTCGGGATTGTAATAATGCGGGATTGTTACATTATACCATTTATTTCATTTTTATCATTTTCTTGCCATATTTGACATATTTTACCATATATAATTGTTTATTACACTTCAAAATATCTGATGTTATTAATCTAGCCATAGCTGATACATCAAAAGGTTGGTAGTTGTTGATAAAAAACATCAATCATGATTAACATTATTGATATACTTTTTTGCTACATCGCTCATCATTTGTTTGTATAGAAACACCGTACAAGTATGCGATGTGTTCCCAAATTCATGAATCCCTTATTGGATCAATCACGATGAACAGTATTGATATACTTTTTTGCAACATCGGCCATTACTCGTTTGTATAGAAACACTATACAAGTGTGCGATGAGTTCCCAAATTCATCGAACCCCTTATGAAGCACACGACGATTCATAGTGACAATTTCAAATGCACTAACGCAATTCCAACGAAGGACACAGACAACTCGGTATAAACGGGGAGTCGACTGCTCCGCCTTCGACAAGGCGAAGTAGACTGCCGAAGGCGGCCTGACGACCAGGTTTAAACGCGCCATTACAATTAAAACAACGACAAACTTAATCCATTTAATTTTAATCAACCAAAAAAATTCATCTGGGGATCCCACATAGTGTTGTAACACCTTTGGCAGATGGATTTCGAATCCTATGATGAGTTGGAAATTTCTACGTAAATACTTTGTCCACTTTACGAGACTAAAAAACATCTGTACTGTGACTTGTAGGAACTAAAACTAACAGAAACAAAGTTTCACGGCTACTGCCATTGCTGTTGCATATGTCGTCTATGTAACAGCTTTATAATCAATTTATAAGTAAATATACACGTATTGTTTGACGCAACTGTTAGTATTACAAGATACGTAAACAAACTGGTCGTAAATTAGATAATTTGTTAGTGAACACAAATGGTCACATTTTATATGATGAAATCCTGTAACACTTGACAGCTATTTTAAGATAATCTATATTATTATTTATTTATTATATACTAATAGTTGCGAACAACTTGTGATAACGTTATGTAGATTGTCATAGAATAATTTTAATATTATATGCATGCACATAAAAGTAAATCAGCACCATATTTTGTAAACTTTAAAGGTAATCGCCGTTACATACAAAGTACATTAATTATACCGTAGTAGGATAGCTTGTACTGAGTAAATACCTATTCTGTGAAACGTTTTTATGTATTTTGCTTATTTATTGAAAAATCGGACAAATTGTACTTAATATATGGAGAACGTATCGAAAACTTTTGTTGGGTGTTATTTTGTATATTTTACCGTGATTTGTTTCTACGACGAGGGCATGTAAATATCCGCGCATATATGTAGATATTTTAGATAATGAGAGTTCAAATATTATGAAGAATAATAAATATTATGTTTAGTTGAATGCTGTTTATTATTTCATGACCTGCGTGGCCTCGCACCTCGACCTCGCAATTGACGTCGTGTTTTATTTATAGTTCGAACTGGTCCCGTTCGGAGCACGCGTTGTGTAATGAAACAATCAACAGGTTTGCTGTACCACTTTATTAATTTATACATGAGTACATTAGTCAACGGCATAAACTTCAGTGCCTACGTACTACCTAAACAACATACAATATTGTCTGTAAATTATTTGCTCTATACATTACACTTCGGGTGACTAACATTTACTTGAATAATTAATCACTACGACGCTAAACTATCCACAATATTTAACGAAGCTATTTTAACGTGCAATTTGAAATCTCTGTTTTATTGAATTCCATAATTTTACAAACATAGTCATTCGATACACTTCTATGATCTGCTACGACTTTACAAATATAGAAAACTACATTAACTTGACACATATATTTAGAAGTTATAACAATATTGACTTTTGAGTTTTGATGCAGTTTTCAATTTTGTTTTTCGATAAGCACAAATAATGTAGTCCAATTTACCCTGTGCTGTAAATAAATAAATATAGAGCAGGCACATTAATAAACAGAACAACCATATTTAGACTATTTTATAAAATAATGGATCACTGCAAATATGTAGATTACTTATATTTTTGAAATACCTCCATTAATATATTTATTTAATACGTGGGTGTAATGGTATGTCTAAAATGCTTAAGTTGTACATGATATACTGAACATTTATATTAAACAATATGTCATGTTAAGATACATATCGCACTTGACAACTAACATAGTATTATCTCAAAATTTTGCGTTATATTTTATGTCAAAATTGCGTTATATTAATAATTTATCTCCAAAATTTCGCTATATTTGTATGTCATTCGTATACGATTTAATTTCAAAGTGATAGGACAAGACTATCGCTTTGAAATTAAAAAGGTAACATAAAGAAATTTTGAGATAATAACAGTATTATTACTTGAGATATGAGATATTATTATTTGAGATAATACAGTTGACATGTGCGATATATTATTTATTATATTATTTAATGCGGTGGACGTAACTAAAGTTCTAAAAAGCATAAACAGCATTACACAATTGATTTCGATAATCGAAATAATAATGTGCCAGGCAACCATATCAATTACCTTGTGTCAAACTAGGGACTTCCCTGTAACACGAGTACCAGAGCAACGGAAACAATTCCGTGGCACTACCCAGAACACCCAGACCAGAACCAATTTAGAGAAGTTCATTTCCCAAATTGCTCCTACCGGGAACTCCTCATTCAGCGCCCACAACGCAAACAGTCGTCCCACCAAGCTCGTCTAATATAATTTTCCAACTTCCTACACAATAAAAGGTAATCTATCTGGGTAAATACATTTACGCTTTTTGTCGTAATCTATCTGGGTAAATACATTTACGCTTTTTGTAACTCTAAAACATTTTCGACTAGTCACATAACACATAAAATTCCAATTAACGAGTGGAGGACTCACAACAATGTGTGACTCACAAATAAACCTAGTTTAATTAATTAAAAATAAATTATATCACAAATTAAAATAATAGCTGCATCTTAAAAATGTATGTAGTATAATATATTATATCAAAATTTTAATTTTGAGATCTTCCACATACAAATCGTTACTAATCTATAGAGTAGGTATTTTACAAATCAAATAATTCATAATAAGATTGGTAATACTGATTTCATTTAGCAATTTATAAAATTAAAAGCACCACAAAAACCCATATATTATTACAATTGATTGTTTTGGTATAAATAATAAAAAATATTCAAAACTAATAATTCATAACAAAAAATCCTTTATTTAGTACGCCATTAAGATGCGTGATGGTTATCAACAATTATTTATAATTTGATACCACAACATTTACCACTTATCATTATGTAGTATCGTAGGTAACTTTTTGTTCGGCTACTTCTATCTTGTCTTTACTTGCAACTTACATAAAATAGTTCATTTCTTGTCTTTTTTTTTGATCAATTACTAAAATTCTACTGTCATTTTATTTAACGAACGAACATATACAGAAAAAATACTACGTTGTTGGTTATCATGCGTGAAGTACAAACACAATCTAGGTGTATATAAATTATTTCAACCAGTCCCTTTATATAAAGGAAAAAATCCTTTTATACAATGCACGTAACATAACCATTCGCACAAAACTCGACTAGATTATATTAATTAGCATCAACATGTAATTAATGATACTATGATTTCTGGAAATACAACGATAGCTATCACATTCGATTGAATTCACTCATTCTAACGATGGTTAATACAGAAGCAAAGGAAAAAGACAGTAATACGAAAGATAATAAATTTAAAATTATAAGTAATCTGATTGACCCAGATGAAGTATACGAAGGAAAAATAAAATTAAAGTACGAGGTTAATACGTGAGAAGAATTTTCGTTTTTGCTGCTATGTATTTTTGCCGCATCTAATACAATTTCAAGTACATACAAGTAGACAAATTGCACTTATTGTGAGGTTTTCTAGACATTGACTTTAGTTTTCACTTACATTTCTAATTCAACCTTCTTATCGTATCGATGGCATACAATGATCAACATCGTGGTGAAAGGATTTACGTTCAATTTATATTGCGGTGGAACGGAATGGAAGCGAATTTTTGTAACGATATTGAACACACGCCAGCACATCAAGCTACACATTGACGTATCTTGTTCCGTTGCACAGGAGGCGACCTTCGAACGAAAATGTGTAGTCTGATGTGCTGTTGACCGTACATAGCATAATGAACTTTATGGTCAATTGCTATTATGTACCTCGGAATGTGCGAGCGCGGAAGATTTTGGCTCGTATCTAGTTTGTACGTTACAATTCACCATAATTCGCTTCCATTCAGTTCCGCCGCAATGTACATTGAGCCTTACCAATCGGGGTAACGTGCTCGCTGATTGTTGCCCAGGGTGCGCCTGTCATATAGGAAAGGAATGGTACGTCGTGCGGGGAGATTTCTTTCGTACTCTAAATCAATCGACGTGCATCCATTCTTACTTTTCATATTAAACCGGCGGTTGCTATACTTATACTGACTCTTTATTCATACACATCATTTTTATACATGTTTGTTATTCAAGAAAAGTCCTATTTTCTGTTAAAGCCGCCTCTGCACAGCGAAAATCGACCTCATAGATGTATAATCGATTAATTTGAAGGCAATTTAGGGTCAGCAACTTTATGAGTGAGTTGCTTGGTAATAAGTTTTGCAGCGGCTGTCACGCTGTGCAAGGCGGGCATTAGCTAATCTTTTTTGCCGTGTATATTGTCGTAGCAAGTCTGGCACACGCGTACGGGACGTAACGCTCGTAGACGACGTACAGGCGCCTCGTAGCGAGAGCACCGACCGCAGAATACGCATCCGCACTCGCGGCAGTGGTGGCGCCGCTCTAGTGCCGTGAAACGCACCTGCAATACGTAATAACAATGTAAACCCAAATAGTATTCGATTTTTTTTATTTTTTCTTCGTCCTGTAGTTGAAAAAGTATGATTTAGTCTGTCTTTTTTGAAGCCAAAGTAAAATGACATTTGCAGGATTGCCAGTTTTAATAAAATTTTAAATAGCTAGTTGTCGACAGTTATATCGACTGATTGTGAAAGAAGGTTACATTTTGTCATAAATGTATCTGAATTGTGAATGTTACGAAGTTCTTATGATTACTAACTGCGTAATTGTATTCTTCATTCTTATTTTGACAGTTGGCCTATTAGTATCGAAATCAATTTTCATTCATATACATTTTAACAAGAGCAGGCAGATTTGATTATTAGTATTGAAATAAAATCATACAGCTTTAAAATATGTCTCCTCTTCGTATTTTTATTAGACATAGTTCTAAATGCAGTGTATGTATGTAACCTTGTAAAGATTGACCATTCAAATGAAAATTGAAAAAAAAAATCGGCTATTTATTGCATAAGCATAACCAAAATTTAGTCGATAGAATATTTATCGACTGTAATGACTAGCTGCTTCTAAGCGGGCAACACTTTTGTGTCTGTCTTTTTACTCCAACTTCAAAAGAGACATAATATATTAATGTACGATGTTTTGATATTTAGTGAAAAGAAAAGTAGCATTGCAACGAGTACTATGGAGTACAATGGAAATTAATGGTAACTTCCATTATCGCATTATAAGAAAAATAGCTTCCGATCGAGCTTAAAATTGAAATATACACATAAAAGCAATTTAGAACAACAGGACAAAGAAAATCTTGAAAGAATTGGTGAAGCGGTCCAATGTTGAACAAACGAATTCTCATCATTCTTTTGTAAGTATATGATCATGACGGTGAGATGAGTAACATGGAAAAGCATTTACCCAGCAGAATGCAGTAACAAAGCATGTTAAACACAAACAGACGCACATACAACACTTATTATAACCAACCCCGCCTTTTTTTACATGAAAGTCCTACCCTGAACTTAATGTTTTTGATGCTGACACACGTTTCCACTCGTCCATTTCTTTGTCGACAAAAAGGTTACTCTTCTCTTGTAGGATATCTAGTGCAAAGGATAAGGGTGACTAACACAAGCAAAACACTATTTACGATACAAAGAAATTAAGATAGTTACACTAATATGCTTATGGACAATTTTAGATTTGATATTACGGTCATTATCACATAGTTAATGAAAGGGAAATTCAAGTCTTTTTGGTGACCCAATGGTCACTATTATTTCCAACATTTTGATTTATATCGCACTACTTAGTGCTTCTTATTTCATTTTACTTACTATTTTATTTATATCGAACTATTATAACTACCTTCTTTTAGTCGTTACATGCACACGACCGCTTTTATAAATATGATTTCAGCATAATTTATTTAAAAAATAAATATAACTCCTAGCTAGTAAACTTTTAAACGTTTGTAGAAAATGAAACAAAAAGAAAAAGTTAAACAAATACATGGAAAATGCATGGAAAAGTAAATTATATTAATGTAGTGAATTAATAAAATAAGTTAAAAAAAGAGTAAATTGGTAAATTGAAGATGTCTTGTAAAAATGAAAGCATCTACTATATTTAAAAATGATAATTCATGAATTAGTGCAATTTAAAATCTGATAATACTAAATATAATACCCGATTTGTCAATAGAGTACTCCTATTGTGGAGTGACACATCAAAATTTTATTTCGGTAACCGAAAAGACGTTTTTTAGCTTATTATCTTTGACTCTAGCCATAAATTATGCTTTTAACATCGATATACGTACTTGGCATTGAGTACAATATGGTGCAGTATCATCACGTATCCAATGATCGGCGGGACCGCCCTTCGCGCCTGACGAACTTGACATATCGGGGGCAGACCAGCGGAATATCTGAAAAATTAGATCAACATTTTAGTAGAATTTTCAGCACTTTTTTATGACTCTGAAAAGAATAAATTTGTGATGACATGAGTATGTACCGGTATTCGTTAATTTGCGGTACTTGCAGTTCAAGTGAAACGATATCGGCATATGATACATTTTCTTTTATATAAAAATAAGTGCGCATTTGACCTCCGTCTCACCTGATGGAAAGTGACGATGAGGTCGACGATGTAGCAAGCACATCTAAATAATGGCTATTCACTCTCGTCTTGAAAAAAATGACATACGCCGTGTGCATTCGTACGAGACGCGATGAAAGAAGGCGGTAATGATTTCCGTCGTTGTTAATAAGTCATATTTCTTTTGTGTTGGCGAAATATGTGTTTATGTTCTTTTGCAATACTCAGTACTTCACCTCAACCCCCTGCACCCAATACTGCAGAACATCTGTTTTTGGAATTTACTTTGTGCCATCATAAGCTACTTCTGGTAGTATACTATTGCACATCTCTAAGGATTGACTACTTCTCCGCTCTTGAAAAGCTTCTTGAAGACTGCTCCTTCCTATGATCATACCATTTTGATGGGTGATTTTAATACCTGCCTTCTTAAAAGTGATTCGCATTCGCGTAGTCTTCGTTCTGTTATAAATTCCTAAACTTACATATTCTTCCATCTAACGCTACGCAACATTTTCCTAGCTGTACTCCCTCTCTTTTGAACCTCATAGCTGTCTCTTCTCCTGAATTTGTCACCAAGCATGGTCAATTCACAGCCGATGCCTTTTCTTATCACGATCTTGTGTACTTGTCGTACAGGCTACGCGTGCCCAAGGCTAAGCCTAAATTTCTTCTGCAACGTAATTTTGGAGCTATGGACTTGGTCGGTAGTGGATAGTGTTGGTTCGGTGGACGATCAGGTCGAGTTATTTACGTCGCTACTCACTCAACTTTATAACACACATGCACAGGTTCGACCTGTTCGTATCAGGCACTTTCCTGCCCCATGGCTAAATAGTGACCTTCGAAATTTCATGGAAGAATCGTGCGAAAGCCAGTTGCAAAGTTGAACCAGATGATTGCGAATTGCAAAAAATATCATCGAGTCAGAAATCACTGTAATGCACTGATCAGGGACGTTCAGTGACTTCATATCCACAAGTCCATCACCAAAATTTGGAATTTTCTTAAGTCGCTTGGAGTTGGTAAATGTCATAGTAATAATTCTTCTCTAAATCTGAACCTCGATAACCTTACCATTTTTCATCTGTGCCTGTCTTTGACAGTTCAGTCAAGGACAATACCTTGCAATATGTTTCTTCATTGTTAACTCCTGACTACTCAACTTTTTTTCTTAATCAATTTACTGAATGTGTTAAGAAAAATGTTTTAGCTATCGCCTCAAATGCTGTAGGTACTGATTGCATTAGTCGTAATATGATCATTTCTTTCCTCGATCTCCACACTCGAGTCATTGCCAAAATCCTTAGTAAATCTGTCTCTACTTGTGTTTTTCCCTCTGCCTGGAAAGACGCTTACGTCATCCTACTACCAAAAAAAAAACCAAGCACCCCTACAGACTACCGTCCTATTTCAATCCTTCCTTTCCTATCGAAAGTCCTAGAAAAGCTTGTACACCATCAGTTGACTAATTTCCTAAACGGGAACAACCTTTTCAATCCTCTCCAGTCCGGTTTCCACATTGGTCATAGTACGATTACTGCACTCACGAAAATCACTGATAATATCCGTTTGGGTATGGAAAATCAACAATTGACTGTGCTGATACTCATTGACTTTAGATTACTAAAGGCAATGAGTATCAACACAGTCAAAGTCATCCATTGAAGGCATTAGCCTTCAATGGATGACTCCGACTTATTATTGGAAGTATTGGGTTCTCTTAACATATCTCCAGCAATTATTGATTGGTTTCGAAGCTACTGTGGACGTCGGCAGTATGTACGCAATGAAAATTCTTTCTCTACGTGGTGCGATATCTCTGCCGGAGTTCCGCAGGGTGGCGTCATTTCTCCTCTCTTCTTTTCTTTGTTTATTAATTCTATTACACACTTACTCACTATTATCTATATGTTGATGACCTCCAAATTTACACCCAGTCATCTCTTCAAGACTTACCACGTCCTATTTATGCTACTAATGTGGACCTGGAATCCATCCGTCAATGCAGTCAGTTCTTTGGCCTAAAAGTTAACTCATCCAAAACACAATCCATTATTATAGCACTTGGTTCACTTCTCGTATAGACCTACTCGTATAGGAGGAGTCTACTCCTTGCCCTACGTGGTGTTTGAGGGTGTCCGAATTCCTTTTTTGGACAGTCAGTAATTTGGGGGTAATTTTTGATAAATGTCTTTTTTTATTTCGAAGCCGCAGGTTGCTGAGGTTACCAGGAAGGTGTTTGGTGCGGATTTTTCACTAAGAAGGCTTAAAAACTTTTTGCCGACTAAAACTAAAATTCATATATTCAGAGTATTCTCCATTCGATACTAGACTACGCAGATGTTTGCTACCCGGATTTGTCAATCACCGTGCTCAATAAACTGGAACGGCTCCAAAATACGTTTGTAAGGTTCATGTTCGGACTTCGTAAATTTGACCATGTCTCCCAATTTCGTGCATAACTTAAATGGCTGCTTATCCACCAGCGTAGAATTCTTCATATTCTTTCCCTTCTTTACTCAATTCTATTCTGTCCCTTTACGCCTCCTTATCTCAAAGATCGCTTTACTTTCCAGTCTTTTACACTATGCCGCCCCCTTCGCTCATCTGATACTCTTTTACTAAACATTCATTTCAGCCCTCTCATACCTCTCATTTTTATTCCAAGTCTTTTACCGTTTCTGCGATCAGACTGTGGAATTCTCTCTCTGAATCGATTCAAGGTTCTGTTTCTCTTAATTCCTTCAAACAACGTGTCAAGAATCACTTCCTCAACTCCTAAGTCTTGTCTTTTTCTTCACTATATCTTCATTTATTTCCTATACTTACACTTCATTTTTCTTTTTCCTTTTAAAGTATTAAGCATTTAATATTATTATTTACGTATTGTTATGTATTAATAATATTTATATGGATATTTCTATCAACGTATGAGTTTGTTAGTAATTATTATGAAGTGTACTTATAATGATATTCTTAGGTTGCACCCCTTTTGAATGTCCCATTTCTACTTAAGTTTGCCTGGAAGAAATTGCTACATAGTAATAAGGCCCACTGTTGCACATTATGTTATTATCTTTATACCTAAATTACTGTATCTGTAATTTTGTGTAATAAAGAATATTTCATTCATTCATTCATTATGTTGTCTTAAATAAGTAATTTTTTAAATAGAAAACTATCGTGTGCCATCGATATGTCTACATATTAACTAAACTAACAAATAACTCATGTATTTGTGACGGAATTTTTCACATTTCAAACAGTTTTCGTCTAGTCAGCGCCGTGGAAGTTCATGATTGAGAACCATGGACTGGTTTGAAATGTGACGAACAAAGAGATTCGATTTAAATACGATGAATTTATCGTTACTTCAGTTAAAATGTAACTTCTATTTTCACCATGCAAATAAAGGATTATATATAATTTACCCGTCCTCGTGCGTCCCCGATGGCGAGTCCGCGGCCGCTCTTAGCCGCAGCGACGGCTGTGACCGAGGCCGGACATGCATTGTCACGCCGCTCATACGCCGTGTGCATTGTTAGCTTGCCGCGCAGGACTAGGTGCCGCCTCCATTTTGTACCTGTTTCTAATAATCACAAATATATCATTGTGTTCCGAAGCAAAAATAAATAAAATGTGTTCCAGTGAGAAAAAAACATTAAATAACAATGAAGAAACTATTTGTAATAAATATTTGCTGTACCAGTTCAGGGTTCATAATTTGATCTCAATATTATATGTACAAAAACATCTGTAATGTAATGGAATGCAAATGAATAAGAATAAAGAATAAATTTAAGTACGTACCAACTTCAGCAGAAGGTGCAACCTTAGCGATCTGTTTATGACGCGGCGCCGGTGACGCGGGCGCGGAAACAACCACGAACGAGTCCGTAAGGCTAGTATCTGATTTACTCGTTCGCAGTCCGCCTTCTTGACTCGCCTCGGTTGACAAACCCGTGTTTGTTTCTATGGATCCTGACTCGCTGGAATCACCTATACTGCCACCACCTGACGAACATAACGGATGTCGGTTTCAATTGAGTCTATAAGCGCAAAAGTGGTGTACTCTGATAGACTAAATTTCATTTTTTGTATACAATTTCACATTAAATGATGAAGTACATAATTAATTTACATTTAGATGCTATTTTCATGTGTAAAAAAATTATAATTAAATATTTTAGAATTATTTAGATTTCTTTTTTTTTTACTTTTACGCTGATAGCCCAGTTACGGAAATATTTACTGAATAAAGAAAATATACTCTTTTTTTAAAGAGTACATTTTACTCAGAGTAAAATCGCCCATTTCCCAGACTGAAATCGTTTTGCCAAGTAACTTAAAAAAGGACTTCCTTTTCTGACTCATCACATCAATCCAACTTTTTTAACCCTCTAAAACCCAACTAATTATAATGGGAAAAGTGCTAAATACCAATGTACATTAAAATGTATACTAAATATAATTCACATACTTCATCAGGTCCAAGCAAATATGCCTTCAGTTTTGTATGAAAAAGGCAACCGGGGTTTATCAAAGCATTTTATTAGATAGCCTGTGGTCACTTTGAATATACATATATCGCTAAAATTTAATGCGATACTTCCATTATAATTAATACTGGACGTTAATGTGATCATAGGAATAATATTGTCTGGGTCTCAATCACTGCACATATTATGGAGGTTTTGAATGACGAAATTAAATCCAAGACAATACTTACTTTTTCTATACAATGGATTTCCTTTAGACTTTCGTCGCAATACCACGTTCCCTTGCTTTTGTAATTTACTTTTTTGCATTTCCTTCTCCGTGTCCAAATCCTTATCATTGTCATAGTCCTGCTTGGCTTCGTCACAGGAGTCTATAGGTTCTTCCTTAGGACTGGTGTATTGTTGACTGTCTTCATTGTCGCTACAAATGTCTTTCTCGTCGTGCCTCCGAGCTGTTTCTTTGGCACTTGTTGTTTCACCCGCGTCTGATAGGGAACTTTCGGATGCAGATTTTTCAAGATTGCCCGCTGTAATGAATGTGTAATTATTATAGAACACATGAATGCAATTAAGATTTAGTATTACAAGTGTAAAGCGTCTTTATAAAAATAAATTTAAACGGTGTAGTCTTGGTGACGAACAAAAATAGTCACAAATATTATATAATATAAAAAAGTTTAAATAGATGCTTGTAACTCAATCACTCCGAATAGATAAACATATTTATATACACAGGATTTATTTGACCTGGAACACGAACAAAGATGCTAGCAAAAACTATATATTTTATAATTGCCTGCGTGTACAATATAATAACGGGTTCAGAATGCTGTTGGGATTGCCACGCTCCTGCAGCGCATCTGGCATGTTCGCGGAGGCGCGTACTGACACCTTCAGTGCGATAATACGCAAGAGATCAGCCTCCCTGATGCGACGTCTTCGTGATGGTTCCAACAGCCTTCTGAATTCAGTTTGGGAACAGCCGGCTTGCGCTTTTTGGAAGCACTGGAACCTAGTGCATATGGGTTCCAGGGGCTTAGTTTATAATTTAATGTAGTTTATTATTATTATTATTATTATTATTATTATTGAATTGTTCATACTAACATAGGCTATAAGATTTTGTAACTAACACACTATGGACATGGTCTGAAATAAATGAAATTATTATTATTATTATTATTATTATTCACGAACCGCATCTGTTTAAACAGACGCTTAATGCGATATCAAAAGAAAGTCATACATTCGATAGATAACGCACCCGTAGCTTTTCAAACTATAGTAAAACCGTATATGCTAAAAGCCTTGCCTTGGCTAGCGGCTTAGTGAAGAGAAGTGAAACTATCATTTCATTTTCTTTATAATTTCTCATAAAATTGTAGGTCATACCGAACTTTTTCTCCAATTTTATTTCCCGCTTCAGCACTTTTTCTGTTTGCATGCTTAACCTAACCAATTCAATTCGTCCTAATGAGGGGTAATGCACGTAGTTTTCAAAGCAATCGTATTACGAGCAGTGTTGGGCAAAATTTAATTGTTCTGGCAATTAAAGATTGACAATTGATTAATTGTCAATTGCGAAACAGCAATTAACGATTGATCAATTGTTAGTTGCACAATGGATTAATTGTTAATTGCGGTTCTCGCAACTAACAATTGATCAATCGTTAATCGCAAATATCTACAATTAACAATTAATCAATTTTCAATCTTTTCAATGTTTTTGATTAACAATTAAAACTGACAATTATGATAAATTTATAGGGCATATGGGGGTGAGTTAGGGCGTTGGTTTTGGGGGCCTGTTGGGGGCCTGCTGGGGGCAGGTTAGGGGGCCGGTTGGGGGCCCGGTTGGGGGTCCGGTTGGGGCCCCGGTTGGGAACCCCGCTTGGGGCCCCGGTTGGGGGACCCGGTTGCGGGACCCCGGTTGAGGGCCCGGTTGGGGGGCCCGGTAGCGGGACCCGGTTGGGGGCCCAGTTAGGGGCCCGGTTGGGTGGCCTTGTTGGAGGTCCCGGTTGGGGGGCCCGGTTGGGGGCCCGGTTAGGGGCCCCAGTTGGAGGACCCGGTTGGAGGGCCAGTTAAGGGGCCTGATGGCTCCGAACCGGGCCCACCCCAACCGGGGCCCCCAAGCGGGATTCCCAACCGGGGCCCCCAAGCGGGGTTTCCAACCGGGGCCCCCAACCGGCCGGAATTGATTTTAATTGCAAATTTAATTGCAATTAAAATCAATTCAATTGAAAACAATTGTAATTAAAATCAATTGCAATTAAATCAATTGATTTTTTAATCTGATTGAATTATTGATTGAAATTTAATTGATTAACGCCCAACACTGATTACGAGAAACGATTCATTGTATGACAAACCCTGTACTGATGGCGGAGCTTATTAAACGAGCATACTACAACAAATTAAAAATAGAAACTTAGCTCTACAGAATACTAACCTACGTCCTGATCTTGAGAAAGGCTCATTTGCTTGACAAGCGCCTCCACTCGTTTGATAGCCGCCTCTCGTTTCCCGGAGTCCAACTCTTCTTTCACATCTAAACTTTCATTCTCAGACTTAAGTTCACTTTCGGATTTTGCGTCTTCACTTTCTTGTACCGACAGTGTGTCTTTGTCCTGCTCTATGTCTAGTGAAGAGACTGGCTCTAAACTGGATGGTTCCGTGATCTGAGCGTCTACACTCTGCCCTAACTCACTTTGGGATTGCTCATCTGTTTCTACTATGTAGTCTATTGACCACATCTGTAAAAGGGATAATAGTTGATTATTTACTCTTTACTGTGACTTGCAACAGAACATCCTGATTTTAGTGCACATAGCAAAAATAAGTGCATTGCGTTTCACCTTTGCCAATCAACCGCCTAATACTAATACCCTCTCTTAAAAATCCCGGAATGGCCAAAATTAAAAGCCAAAGAATCAAAATCAATCTTCATTCCGAAGCAAAGTTTTTAAACATATTACTGTAGTAAAGCCACATCACGCCAAAAATATACAACAAAATACAATAATTCAAGGATTTCCGAAAGACGTATTATTCACTCTATGGATATCACCTTCTGAGAATTTATATAAATACAGTCTGCCTTTTCTGATCTCTGGTAATAACATACAGCAAATTCTGCTGAACGTTACTTTACCTTTGAAAGGTAAAGAACACATCATTATGTAGTTTTTTATAGTTAGCAACACTTTATACAGACTACAGATTTACCCGAACAACACCATCAGTAGATCCAGTAATAATAACGTTCAGAGGGTCCCATTCGCGAGTTTGACTGAAGGCGACACAAAGAACTTGTTGGGGTCCCCCTCCGCCACTGGTGCGGCCGCCAGCGGTATCGACTGCACCGAGCAGGTCGCCGTTTATTGACCATGCGTACAGCCAACTGCCGCGGCATGTTGCAATGTCGCCCTGAAAAACATAAATTCAAAAGTTAACAAATAGTATGTGACAGCATTATGATACATATTATATATAAAACTAGCATAAGATCTACACCAATTTTGCTTTACTGCTACGCAGAGGGCCCGGGTTCGATTCACGGACTGGGACAAATATTTGTATGGCCTAACATTTATTTCTCTCGTAAGTTTTGGAGTAATGTGTGGTTGTCTACGTGTGTGTCCATGGCACCCGCGGGGCTATGAGTGTGTGCGCGTTATTTATCGACCACTTCACAACGTTTAAAACGCGCAATTTGCCCACTTAGTTGTATATAGTATTATATTATGAAAAATAGTGTCAGGCATAACATTAGGAGGAATAAAAATAAACTGGCTGTTCTTGACAGTCGCCTTCATAGACACAAAATCATTTAATGGTCGATGTATTATTACGTGTCTATAATAAATTATGGTTGATATTCAAAATTTCCCAATCACAAGGTTTAAAACTACAGTGAAACAAAAACTGTATACAGCTTCAGCGTATTTGGATGACAATAATCAGGGATAGTGACCTAAACGGGTTTTTGCAGGTTGTCACGGTATATGCCGTTTGAAATAAATATTGTAAATGATAAATATGCACAAATGTTCATGTATAGAGAGCAACCCCTAGAGTGTCTTGCTCATTCTTATCTGAATCTACTTTACGAGTGAGCGGTAGAGTTTACTCAATATGACGATTTGAGGTGTAATTTGCTTACTTATGAAATAAAGATTATTTTATTTAGTTACACTTTTGTCACATTCGTTGATACATAATAAATAAATAAATAAATAAAATTGTTTATTGAATAACGTATTGTACAAATGAATAACTAAAGACTAATTATGCGAATAAATGTAAAATATAACACATATACCAGAACTAGGAGAATATTGCAGGTAAAAAATACTAATTTTTATTTATTTATTTAATTTGACTTTTATTTGGTAGAATTTGTTTATATAAAGGATGACGAAAAAATTTGTCAATATATATAATATATTCTAAATTCTATATTTTTTGTGAAAAAAATTATAAAATTTGACCAACTTTCTTTCTTTCTGTCCCGATTTTTTTCTTCCAATAAAATGAAATGATTCTTACATGAAACTGAGTCAATCAGCACTAAAAAAATAATTAATTTTATTCATTTTTAGGGACAACTCGCGCTTGACCAAAAAAAGACTGCTAAAATAGATTTCACAAAAAAAAATGGTTTCTAAACATTTTCCCAATTAAAAAAATACACTGTACAGAGAATTAGCAACACTTACAGTAAGATCATCAATAGCCAATGCAGAAACTGGCGGTGGCAACCCCGGCGCCTCAGGCGTCAGCTGCCGTACAAAAATGCCCCTCTCCACATCCCACACAATCACTTGCCCATCCCGACTACCACTTACAACGAGGTTGTAAGCGGGACTGGCCGCTAGGCATGTGATGGCTTCCTCGTGGCCATATAGGCACACTTTGACTCCAAGACGTCGGCGACGGGATGAGTACTGCCATACTGTTACCACCTAAAAATTACGCAGATAATTATTCATAGGAAATGAAACTACCGGACCGGTATATGAAACCGGACTTAAATCGCGTATATCTGTTTTTTCAAATAAATCAACGTTACGGGCCCTTTACAGGTCCCACGGTTACGGTTGAACATACAACAAATATACGCGATTTAAATCCGGAAAAATAGTTTCATTTCCTATGTGTAACAATCTCGAAAACCTAAGAACTCGATATAATTACTAATACAAAGATCGAACAAACATAAAGAAAAATTGCTTCAATACGACTGAACACGAACCAGTATGTGTTGCCAACATTGCCGCGTTGAGGCAACAGACACAGGTTCGAGTACAGTCGAATCGAAGGAACTTTTATTTGTGATTGTTCGATTTTTGAATTAATAATAATAACAAACTAGTAGAGTATTTTCACAAAAAAAAAGATGTAAAAACATTACAATATTCTATAAAAATAAATATCACGCATATTGTTCTAGCACGCATTGATTATTTTCACGATTGTTTAAATGACATATATACTAACAAATTGTAGACAGTCGATCTGACACATGTTTATAAGCTAACGCAGGCTACACCGCGAACGAAGCTAGCTAACTTAGCTCAACTCACGTACTTGCATGCAAGGCTAAGCTAAGAAAATAGGTAAAAAGTAGTGAATATGGAAAGCAGGGGTGAAGTATAATTGGGGTGAAATATATTTTACATAGCTAGCGGGATCGTTGGGTTAGTTTAATTAGCTCGGTTAACTTAGTTCGCGGTTTGATCCAAAGTGAAATGAAAAGATGCCCCCGCTACGTGAGCTCAGTTAAGTTAGCCTAGGTTTGTTGTAATTATGAATACAAAGATCGAGCACTCAGAAAAAATCCTTCGAACCGGCCGGATTCGAACCGACGTCTTCTAGCATACCATGCCAGACGCTATACCAACTAAGCGACGGAATGAACCAGCGGACCTCACGAATTTTTCTATGTTCTTGCGTCGTATCTTTGCATTTGGTTTTTCAACGACTTTTTGGCCGTAGCGCCATGTATGAGAAATCTATGATATTTCGTCACCCAGTTAGATACCTTTACAGCTACCAGCCCCGGCTAGAGATGTCGCTATTCATTGTATTTAAATTTTTATGGAATTGATATTCAATTATTTTTATGTGAAATTACTCCACTAGTTTCTTATAATTATTATTAGAAAGATCGACAGCTTAGCTTTGTTTGCTTGGTGGCCTTCGCATAAGAATCTAATTGTATTTTATGACAAACAATAATTAGAAAAACAAAATAAATCATCAGAATTATAATTTTGATGAACTTACCGAGCTTGTTCCAGCTGTAACGATTGTCTTATCCGATGGGCACACGCAAGTTACAATTTCTCCGCACGCTTGCGACACGCTTTCACAAACAAACACGGCTTTATCGTTATCATAGTTGCCTATCCTCAACGAATGATCGGCGAATCCCCACGCTACGTACTTGTTGTATGAAGGTGGCATTAGGACTTTGTTCTGTTCCACTGCCAAGATTGCCTTGTCTGTGTAGAGGATTTGACCGACCGGACCTTTTACCTCTGAAAAAAAACGATTATATGAAAATAATGTGCAGAATCCAGTCGAATCAAAGTAATTTTTCTTTGTTTTTGTTCGATCTGTGTATGAATAATAATAAAAAGAATATTCCTCGATTTTGGTTACGGCTTTAATACAGTATATTGCTTCTCAAACAAATTAAATACATGTATGACCTGCATATTAGTATTAGTTATATTTAATATTAGCGCATCTGTTGTTTTAATATTATGATTTACCTTTCACAGGCTGAAGAGACGGTCGCAAATTCTCTAAGTTATGAAAGAACAATTTTTCCGGTGGTGTGATTCCTTGCGACGGTATGATGTTGTTGGGATCTAGTATAGTGGAACTCCGTTGCGACATTTTCTTGCTAGGATGTGCTTTTTTGAACAACTGTTTGGGTATTTGACCAAAGTTGTTTATGAACCCGATTGTGGCGTTCTTCTTTAAAGGATCATCGATACTAAAAGTTAAAATTTTATATTATATATATATATATATATATATATTATGGTTTTAGGATGTAATTTTGTTTTCATATTGGGTTATTTGAAAAACACTAACCTCGCAGGACCATATCACTTACATCATAAACAACGACTCTTGTTCCATGACTTTTTATGATTAATCAGAGTTTACTCTCGTACAAAAATAAAAATATTTAAATAAAACGCTCTACGGTGAAAACTCTGTGCGGTAATAAAAGAAAGCGCTAGCGTAAATACCAGTCCCATGTAAAACGCAGGAACAGGAAGGGGGCTCGTCGGGAGGACGCTTGCACATTTCAACTTACTACCAAACACAGATCTAAAAACTATCAGATACATGTACAACAAAAACTTGAAAGTTTGGTAAATTTATTATGTTTTATAAAAAGTCGTGGAACCAAAGTTGTTGTTTATGATTGTTACTAAACTTTTGATCGCCACTGACAAAAATTAGTTTGTTTCCTATACGGCAAGTCTAGTGATGTGACATGTATTTTAACCTTATATTAATTCAATTATCCTAAGTTAAAGAAAAAAAATAACTGAACATAAAATGCAACTATGAATCCATACTTAATTAGAATATACAAATAAGACATGGTTTCATTGACGCTTTAAAGTGTCTATGGCGGTCAAAAAGCTAATTCAGTTCTGTGAGTTTGTTAGTATTTTAGAAATAATACTGCATACATAATAATGAAGCAATGATAAAAAATGCAACAATAAATAACAATTATTCTTACTTATAAATATCTACGTTGCCTTCATAAAACAGATGATGGAAAACATTGCAGGCATCAACAGCAGCTTGGCCTTGTTGCTTATAACCAAAGACAAGATCAATCCAGTGGTGTAGCCGGTGTGAGACATAGTCCGATTCTAACGCTGCGCGATGGAGACGTATGAACTCTCGTGAGTCACCGCGCGCCCATGGTGGGAGAACCACGTCGCCTAGTGCTATTCCTGACTGCTTTGAACCTGATGGATATAAAGATTAAATTAAAAGGTATCATCTTCAGGAAGGAAGAGTGACATATCTGTTACTTAGCAACAGTGCTTGTTTTGTCATTCTATTATTTATTGACTGTAATATAAGTGTCGTTCATTGTAATAGTGAATTATATCCTTGTAATTAAATTTTGAAATAACGATCATTTTGCAAATTAATGAGTAGGAAAAAAATAAGTGTTCATTCAGTGTTTTTAATTTTTCATTGTTTAATACAAATCGAATATTTTAATAATACTTTGTTTATAATGAAAGTTTTCATGAAATGTGATACTATTGTCGCGAATTATGTCGCGATTTAGTATAAGTTTTGTAATATCAAGCATTAATAAATTTAATCTGTTATGATACCTAAGAGTAGGGAACTAACACGGCAGTACAGGCATCTCAAATGAAGGTGAGATATCAGGCATCTGCTGGAAGTGCGCTGGTTGGTCGGCACTACAGTTGGTAAGTTTGCACAATGTTTATTACTAACGTAGATACAGTATTTGTTGACTAGACAGCCAGAAAATAGAGTGTGACGAATCAGTAACAGAATTAGAATGAGATCGCCACTTGTACTGAAGGTACAAGGGGGCATGAAGCGGTGGCAGAGGAAGGGCTGTAGGGGTGTGTGTGGAGGCCCATCATAGGGATCAGAGGATCCCACTATTTCAGATCCGGAGGATCGATATGAGGTCAAGGACCTGTTAGGACAATTATAGTAGTCCTATGAAGTAGAATGGAGTTAGAAGAAGTGTACATGAAGAAAGATACTCTATTTAAAGGTTGTTGTGATAGAAAGAATGTCGCATATGTAATTTACATTATGATTGAACCTTAGGCGTGGCGACATTATGGTGGAGGTGCTTGGTCCAAATCGAATATCATAGTAATGATATTCTTGAAACATTTTTCTGGTATGTCAATCAAAGCAACTCATTTTTTGCCTGAGGAAGTCCGTCGTCTCATCATCGTAACTTATAAGTCAAGTAGCAAAAGGTTTGGTAACGAAGAAGTCATGAAGTCGGTGGACCTTGATTCGTTCGGGGATGACCGAGACCAAAGTTTCAACCCCATATATATGTGGGGGACTGCGGCCACAATTGAAGTTCTGAAGTCTAGACCAAAAGTCAACCTGATTATCATATTGTAGATTTAGCCAAACTTGTATGATAAATACTGAAGTCAAGTAATTGATGTGAGACGACGGAACTTAGAAATGAATAACCTTTTGGAAGGTATCATTCTTATGACGTCGTAGTGGAATAAATTTCGACTCAATAACTTAGTGCGAAAAGACGTGTTAAAAATAAAAATAGTTTGATGTTTTTGTGCCCATTATTAATTACCCCCGCACCTAAATATGCAAAAATATGTATTTTCTATTTTATATATTCCTGTCTATTGTAGTAATACATAGTCCGTTACCAAGTTAAGCGTTCATTTACGTTCTAAAACGAATGACCTTGAAATTTTAACCACATGAATAGTATGTATCCGAATGTCAACCGGAAATACTTACTATTTTCATATGGCAATACTTTTAAACTATTGTTAACCCGACCAAATGAAGAGCCGTGGGGAAACGTGAATTTCACAGAAAGGAGATGATTTTTAATTTCCTCTACTAAGAAGTTGCATTTGTTGCGTAACCGGAAACGTGTTCCCTGTCCTTTTCATATAAAATGTTTCGTTTGGATGTTGTATTACTGAGCTCGAAAATTGAAAATTGTTAATACTGTGCGAATAGTGATTGCTTTAATTGTAATAAAGTTTAAAGACTTCAGAATTGTAAATTCTTATAAGATTTCAAAGTATTACCGGTATTTTAGGCATTTAAGTAAGTTTTTACGAAGTTAACTTGAAGATGGAGGACGCTTTACTTCTACGCCTACAATTACTACTAAAACGCCTACATGACTCAATTACTCTTACGACAGAGTTATGTGTACAGTCAAAAAGCGAGGGTGTTACCGAGCAGGAAATCTCCATTGCATTGAATTCGTTACGGGCTCATACAGCCAATGTTGCGAAGGAAATTCATATTTACATTGAAAAAAGTACTGAGATTAACCAAGATATTGTGAGACGATGCACAGTGTTGCAGTTAGAAGCGGAGGATAAGATAATTGCACTTAATTCAATTCTTAATCATATCGATTCTCAGAAACCAGAAACAACCCAACAGACTAAACTTCCTAAGCTCAGTCTTCCTAAATTCAATGGAAACATTTTAGGCTGGCATGATTTCTGGGATCAATTTGAGGCTGGTATACATAACAAGTCATTACCTGCTGTTGTTAAAAAGTCTCATACCTGTTAGCATCACTCGAAGGTACAGCAAGAGAAGCTGTAGAAGGTATAGGCATAACAAACCAGAATTATAAAATAGTCATTGAAACCCTAAAGAAAAGGTTTGGACATAAAAATATGTTAATAGACTCCCATTATGAAGAACTCCAGAAAGTTACAATGGCCGATTCATCAGCTACTGAATGCAGAAAGGTTTTGAATAACATTGACAAGAATTTACGGATCCTGGAATCTCTCGGAGAAGATATTAATAACAACCAACTTAGAGTCACAATATTGAGCAAGTTCCCACAGAAAATAATCTATGAATTAAATATGGCATTAAAAGGAGCTGATTCGGTAAAGATCATCCGGGACCAATTAGAAATAATAATCACAGCTATGGAGCTGTCACAGAAGATATTTCCCATTCACAGTGAACCGACGAAAACGGCAGACATAGACATAACAACAACTGATGCTTTATTTATTAAAGATGAGAAAAGGAAAGCATTTGTAAAATGTGGTAGGCCATCTAGAGAAAGTAACACCATACAGAAGCGCAGACTACCCTCCAAATTTAGAAAGCAAGATACAATTTCAAAACGATGGAAAGGACAATGTGTGTTTTGTGAGGGCCCGCATTATAATGACACCTGTTCGAAATTTTCTACTATGAGTGCCCGAAGAAAGAAACTAGGACCAAGATGTCACCTTTGCTTTAAGATAGGACATTTTATAAACGATTGTAATATGAAGAAACCATGTTATCATTACAAGGGTACACACAATAGAGCCTTGTGCCCAAAGAAGTTTGCCATAAGGAGTAAGGAATTATCCGACTACAAATTAGAAACAAATTGCTATTCTATGTTTAACCACAGTTCATTTTTGCAGACGGCAGTGGTGACTATAAAGAGTCAGAATGAGGAAAGAAAATGTAGGCTACTATTAGATAGTGGCAGCCAACGAAGTTACATCACACAGCAATTAGCAGATGAACTAAAGTTAGTTACTGATAAAGTAGACCAACTAATAATATTTACCTTTGGGTCCGAATCACCTACACAAACTGCAAGTCCTTCTGTTAAAATTGAATTAAAGACTGGGCGAGATACTACAAGAAAGATACGAGCAAATGTAGTACCTCACATCACGAACAGAATATCAGTGCCTAAAGTAGATAAGAAAATATGTGTTGATTTATTAGCTGATGATGGCTCTGCGGGAGAGAAAATAGATATCTTAATTGGAAACGATTATTACTTTTCATTCTTTAAATCAGAAAGTAAGAAATTGTGTGACAATTTGTTTTTAATCAATACTGAATTTGGTTGGATATTAAGTGGCAAAGTTGATTCAAATGATCAAAATATATTATCAATAATTACTTATTGTCAATGCCATGGCCCAGAATGTATATACTACACAGAGCCTAACCTTCCTCTCAGAAATACAGATTTCACATTTTTGTGGTCACTAGAAAGCATAGGGATCTTAGATTCTCCTAAAGCTACAAGAGAAGATGAAGCAGTAAAACACTTCAACAACAATGTCAAGTATGTAAATCAAAGATACATGATTAAGTGGCCTTGGATTCAGTACCCACCAGAAATACCTACTAATTTTGGACTAGCATATGGAAGGTTGAAGGGGCTGCTATAGCGAATTGATAAAAATACTTTGGAAGAATATGTACAAATTCTCAAAGCACAACTGCAAAGTGGCACTATAGAATTAGTCGAACCTGAGGATGATGCTACAAGACAAAGAATTCCACCTTTGCACTATCTACCCCATCATATAGTCAAGCAAGAGGGGAAAAAAGGAAGGTTGGTGTATGATGCTTCAGGGAAACTAAAAAATCATAAAAGTTTGAACGAGTGCATGTATAGAGGACCTTCTGTGATTGGAGACTTACTCGCAATTCTCCTACAATTTCGTACTTATAAAACTGCTATTACAGCTGATGTAGAAAAGGCTTTTCTGCAGATAGGCCTCCAAATAGAAGACAGAGACGTCACAAGATTTCTATGGCTTAAACATGTAAATCAACCAATCTCTAAAGAAAATTTACTACACCTGCGATTTTGTAGAGTGCCTTTTGGGATTATTTCAAATCCATTCATACTAACTGCTACAATAAACTACCATATTTCACAAAGCTACCCAGACTTATTGTCAAAGATTGCCGATAAATGCTACGTAGATAACCTTGTGACAGGATCAAAAACAGTAGAAGAAGCGCAACAGTTGTACAAGGACACAAGGAGAGTTTTCCAAGATTTGTCTATGAATATCCGTGAATGGAACTCTAGCAGTCCTGATTTCCTTAAGACAATTCCACAAGAGTACAGAGCAAAGACTTCTGCAGAAACCAAGATGTTGGGTTTAGTGTGGGACACTAAAAAAGACACTTTGCATCTAAAAATAAAAGAGAATTTACTGGATGAACAAAATACTAAACAAATTCAATGTAAAAGAGAAGTACTTAGCACTATAGCTTCAGTATATGATCCTTGTGGATTTTGTTCACCTTTAATATTACCTGCTAAATTGTTACTCCAACAGCTGTGGGAAAATAAACTCAAATGGGACACACTACTACCTGAGGAGTTAAAACAGAAATGGGATGAAGTGGCTGACTGTTTAAGGATGGTTCGAAATGTAGTTATACCACGATTTGCTTGTATTGCACCAGAAGAAAAAACAGTCACTTATGAATTACACTGTTCTACAGATCCATCAAAAGATGCCTATGCTGCAGTTCTCTACTTACGTTCAAGTAATGGAGTGGATACCAAGGTAGCCTTCTTAATATCCAAGTCTAGAATTACACCAAAACAAGACAAAGATAACTTGAAAATTCCAAAATTGGAATTACTCTGATGCTACATTGGAAGTAAACTAATTTTGTATGTCAAAAATGTGATTGGACTAACAATTGAACATCAATACTTGTGGACAGACAGTATGATCGTTTTGGGTTGGATGAAATCAAATAAATTATTACCACCATTTGTTTCAAGAAGAATCAATACAATCAGGCAAAACAAAGAAATTCAGCCTTGCTACATCAACACATACAAGACAGTAATCCTGCCGATGTAGCAACACGACCTGACCTTTGGACAGAGAAAAATCACTTGTGGTTCCAAGGTCCATCATTTCTACTTAAGGACAAAAGTGAATGGCCACAAAGTATGTATCTTGGAAGTGAGGAATCGTCTTGTGTGTTGGGGGAGAGTCTGGACGGACTATGTCCAGATATAACACTGATGACTAATGACGAAGAGTATATAAATGAACTCACTGGGTGTAGCTCACCAAAACAAGGTTGTTACCAGCTGGAGAATACCCGGGAGGTGAAAAATGTGAAGATACTGCAAAGAAATTATTTTCCTAATGAAGTTGAAGGTAAAGTAACGCATCTCACCAGAAATTTAGGTCTGTATCTTGATGTGGACGGTGTGTTGAGATGCCGTGGACGGATGGCTAACACCAACTGGTCTTACGATACCAAACATCCTGCTCTCATCCCTAGAGATAGTGAGTACACAAGCAAATTGATACAAGAAATTCATGAGAAAAACTATCATGTGGGTGTGTCGGATACGTTAAGCTTGATAAGAGAGAAGTTTTGGATACCTCAAGGAAGAGCGCAAGTACAAAAGATATTAAGACACTGTGAGAATTGTGTGAAGCATGGAGGGGGTCCCTATAAGCTACCGCCAACCTCAGATTTGCCAGCAGAACGAGTTAATTTAAGTGCCCCTTTTACCTACACCGGTATGGATTATTTTGGTCCACTTTACATCATTGGAGAAGTAGGCAAGGAAAAGAGATGGGTATGTATACTTACCTGCTTATCTGTGAGAGCCATATGGAAATAGTGAAAGATTTAACTGCCGACGAGTGTCTACTAGGTTTAAGACGCTTTGTTGCGAATCGGGGAAAACCTGAGGTAATCATGACAGACAATGCAACCTTTTTTAAACTGACCGCAGAAGTTGTCTCAGATACAATCAAATGGAAGTTTATACCGCAACTAGCACCTTGGCATGGGGGTTTTTATGAAAGGATGGTTGGACTTGTCAAACATTGTATGAAGAGGACCCTGGATAAACATCTCTTAAGGGAAACACAGTTACTTACTGTGGTCAAAGAAATAGAGTCTGTTTTGAATAGTCGACCCCTGACATGTGTTGGCTCGGAGCCTAAACAAATATTGAAACCAGCCGATTTTCTTTCATTGGGGAAATGCATTGCTCTGGAACCGTTAAATGAAAATATACCATCTGGAAGTACATCGATAAAACAAGCCCTAATAGAAGGTTGGATAAGAGGACACAAGATCGTGGCAGAATTTAGAAAAATGTTTACCACTCAATATTTATTCAGTCTTAGAGAAAAATACAATTACAGTCCAAAGCAGCCCAGAATAACAAACAGTAATATGCCAGAGGTCGGTGACGTAGTTCAAATCAAAAGTGATGTCAAGAACAGAAATAAGTGGAAGGTAGGAAAAATAATTTCATTGACACGTGGAGCTGATGGGGAGTGTCGAATAGCAAAAGTGAAAGTAGGCAATTCAGAGTACACTCGCTCGGTAGGTCACTTATACCCGCTTGAAGTAAATAGTAAGAGGAATGAAAGTGAAGGTCTTTCTGAGCAAGTTCCTGAAGTAGAGATTGCCAAGTCCTCTGAAAGTCAAGAAACAAATTCTGCTAAGCCGCCTGCTGGAGGGGTGGAAGTAGGACACAAGCTGTCTGAGGCTCTGGATGACCTAACGCCAATAAGAGTTAATAGGAAAGCAGCAATCAGAGCAAGAGAAAAGATGACCGAACTTACTCGCAATCTTCTCACACTTTTGTAGTTCCTGGGGCGCCCGGAGTGTCGCGAATTATGTCGCGATTTAGTATAAGTTTTGTAATATCAAGCATTAATAAATTTAATCTGTTATGATACCTAAGAGTAGGGAACTAACACGGCAGTACAGGCATCTCAAATGAAGGTGAGATATCAGGCATCTGCTGGAAGTGCGCTGGTTGGTCGGCACTACAGTTGGTAAGTTTGCACAATGTTTATTACTAACGTAGATACAGTATTTGTTGACTAGACAGCCAGAAAATAGAGTATGACGAATCAGTAACAGAATTAGAATGAGATCGCCACTTGTACTACAGGTACAAGGGGGCATGAAGCGGTGGCAGAGGAAGGGCTGTAAGGGTGTGTGTGGAGGCCCATCATAGGGATCAGAGGATCCCACTATTTCAGATCCGGAGGATCGATATGAGGTCAAGGACCTGTTAGGACAATTATAGTAGTCCTATGAAGTAGAATGGAGTTAGAAGAAGTGTACATGAAGAAAGATACTCTATTTAAAGGTTGTTGTGATAGAAAGAATGTCGCATATGTAATTTACATTATGATTGAACCTTAGGCGTGGCGACAACTATTTAGCAAAAAATATGTTTTTTTGAATATGGAATTACACCACTTTTACGATGAAAGACAGAGAGAAGATGAAAGACACATAATGTAGGTGAGAGGCAAAGAACCTTAAGTCATTATTTTGGAATTTAGATGTTTTTACAAACATAGGCTTCAGAATGATAAAAATCGCGTAATGGTGAAAGACATTAAGTCCTATTGTCGTTTGTTTTTTATTTAACATATTTTATTCAAAATTGATTTTAAATGTCCAATTAAGAGCCTCATTCTCTTTAAAACGCTCTGTAAAAAAATTACTTTTTGGCACTGAAGGTTCTTTACAGATATAGAAACATACATAATTAATTTACTTATTTTACATATATAATAAAGATATTATTTGTGTTTATTTGCACAAGTTCAGTTTCTTTAAACCCAGTATCTAGAACAATTTTATGAACTCTCCCAATATTACGAATGCTTACCTAAGTCAAAATTGTTAGAATTGACTAGGAATTCAGGAAGATAGAAGAATTCCGGAATCAATTCCTTGACGTCCGCCATATTGTGTCTCGAAGCAGAGTTCCAGCCTTCTTTTATCGAGTGGAACATTCTGTCAGCGAGATCGAAATGTCCGCCTTGGAGTCTTAAGAAATGCTGTGTAAAGGGCTCCATTCTCACGAGGTATGAGCATACGATCATAGCTGATGAGTAGTGAGTACCGTAGTGATATGGTGGAGTTTCGCCGTGGGGGTCGTCCCATTCCTAAAATATATATATATACCAGTTAACTCAGGACAGCTGTAAACTTCAATTTGTCATTTTAATGGTTACATTCTGGTTTAATGGTGGTTATTATCCAACTTACTGTAGTTTGCACCGGAACGGTATGATGGCCGTGTTGACAGATTACAATAATGAGGTCAAATCTTAATTCATTATCGAAAAAAATATAATCAAACGCAAGTCGCATCTACAAGTTCTTACATTTATAACTAGTATTGCAAGGGGTAGCTGATCAAAAAGTTTTAATAAAAGTAATTATATCGTCAATTCGAAACTACTTTGTTTTGCATTGAGCTTTGAGCGAGTTTGTCGGAGGTAGAAGTTGTGTTGGCCAGCGATACCATAAGTGACGATCGTATTAGATTTCATTTTTTTTAATTTCGAATTTCGAAACACAAATGCCGAGTTGTGTCGTAGAATTATACATTCCATAAATTTTACTGCACCTCACTATTGACAACAATGTACTGCAAGTAGATCCTTCAACGTAGTTATGAATTCATACGAAACTAGATGAGCGGACAAACATCAAAACGGCCATCATAGCGTACCGGTACTTTAATAGGTCTGGCCATTAGAAATCTAACGAGTGGTGCCGAATGCACTACACCTACAAAAAACAACTGTACAGAAGTTTAACATTTACAACAATCGTACATACCTTATATCTCTTCCTGAATTGTTCCAGTCTATCGGGACTCTGTGCGCCCATTGGTTTTGTGAGATCTCTAAACGTGGCTGGGTCGTTGAGATCAAGTTCAAATGAATCATAGTCAGCCAGAATCCAAGGGAATACGGGATATTGCATGAGATCATTATACGATCGCCCAGCGAGGGTGTTTAAATGCATCAGATACTGGAAATTTGAGATTTCTCCGCGCTGAAAACAAAGGTTCAATTAAGTGTCATCAGTATAAGTCTATATAAACACTAATGCAAAACACTAACGCACCGAAATTTTTAACCATTATATTGCAAGCAACAGTCAATAACCATCAAGTTTTCTTTAACTGTAACACGATGATTTAGAAGAATTTTAGAAAGTTTACTTCTATTATTTAGTAAAATTTTATCAAAGTATGGGAAAGTTCTGTGTCTATGCCAGCCAAATTCAACCTGCTCTGCGGCCCGCCAAGCTTTTATGTGCGGTACGAAACCCTATTTTCCTAAAGATGCTTTTTAAAACTACGGTTTCCTAACATTGTTAATTTTTAATGCATTGATTTCTACATGTATACTCATATTATTTCTTTATTATTTTTAACTATAATCCTTTGAACATTACCCAACCACTACTAATCATATTTGCATGTTTTTACGAAAGCACACAAAGTAAGTGCTACTTTATTGTATTATTTAAGACGTCATTGAAATTACTTCGTTGTACATACTTCGACAAATAAATCTATCTTATTTGTATCTTTATCTAAATTTTTAAAATCTTGAGCCACATATATTTAGGTTGTGAGTTTAATATATTATATAAGTATTGTAGTGCATCGTCGATGTTTGCTCAAGCGGGAGTAGACGACGACGATGAATTTGTATAACGGTGTTTGTTTTTACAAAAACTGTTATACAAATACTTTTTCAAATGAAAAAATAAAATATCGTATTTTTTAACACAGTTGCTCAAAACGTGGCATTTTTCATACTACAAACCGTGCCGAAAGTTGGATTTTTATTTTTCCATTTTTTTTAAATGTACTGTTGTTTCAAGTCTTCAACATAGAACTAAAAAGGTTGTATATTTATTAAATATGTGCTTTGTGACGTAAGTCATTCGGCATTAAACTTATATTTACTTACAAACATCTTATTTGTTTAAATTGCATAGGAGTTTTATAAACCAACGGGTTACATTTAAAAATACCAAAATATTTTCCATAAAGATGGCTGATTGAGTATTAACAATGACCAGCGGTGAGTATTACGCGAGACCGCTGCGCGCCGTGCCACTAAAATAGTAATTTTAATGTGGCTGAATACTGGCAACAGTTGCCATTGTACTTTGAATTTTTATCAGACAAAGAAATAAAATGAGTTTTTTTTTAAAAATACTCTTTTATTTTACTTTCAATGTAGTTTTTCTCGCAAATGTATTAAAAAACGTCGTTTGATACACGTGCGGATTAGTCATTTTCACTTGCCTCGAGACTCGTGAATAATGACTAACGTTCCGCACTTGTATCAGAGATAGGTATTCTATAGTAATCAATTTTTTATCAGTTCGATCAGTTGCTCCGATCGCACGCGCACGCTTTCGGATTGTGTATGCATAGTGAAAGTTTAAATATAAAGTCACTAACTAACTTTTGTCGCCCACCTATGCCACCTCTACTGAGGCCGGACGGCTCGCTGACCTGCAGAAGACAAGGCAATCTTTTTGCCTCGCTCTTTGCAAAGAGTTCGCGTCTGGATCTAATCTTACCTTAATCTGGCTGCACAATGGCGCCAATTCGCATACGCCAAAAAGAGGTACTTAGAACTTTGCGGAATCTAGACTTGAATAAAGCTAGCGGGCCAAATGGAATTCCAGCACTAGTCCTACGTAACTATGCGCCTGAGTTGTTTCCTGTTCTCACACGCCAACAACGTCTGTACCGCTTCTCTCAAGTGTAGTTCCCAGGTCGTGGCTTGCTTGCGTGCCAGCTTGCAAATGTGCAACCTGTGCCGAAAAAGGGAAACAGAGCTGACTTTGTAACTATAGACCTATCTCAGTCACTTCTGCACTCTACAAGACTAGACTATGGAACGTGTACTCAACAACCGTCTCCTGTCGTACCTAGTAGACAACGACCTCCTCAGTGATCGCCAGTACGGATTCCGACGAGGGCGACGAACTGGGGATTTTCTTGTGTATGCCTGTCACACATGGAGCGAAGCTATAGAAAAGCAAGGTGAAGCACTTGCAGTGTCTTTGGATATTTCTAAAGCCTTTGACAGGATCTGGCACGCAAGTCTTTTAAGTAAGCTTACCTTTTATGGACTTCCGACTGACCTTTGCAATTGGATCTCTGATTTCTTTTGCGAACGTTCGATTGGTGTGGTCTTAGAAGGCTACTCTTCCGAACATATGGCGATAGATTCCTCAGGGTTCCGTACTGTCTACAACTCTTTGCTACATCAATGGTATGTTAATTCCAGGTACCTTTGCGTATGCTGATGGCAACACAGTTGTAGATAGGTAGTTGAGCAATGCAAGAGTCAGTGGAGAGGAAACCCAGCACTTCACACCGGGACAGTTGCTTCAGCTGTAACCAGCACAAATCCAGTCGTGCATGGAGTACTGCTGCCACCTTTAGGATGGCTCTGCTACATACCAACTGGCCACCTTGGATTCAATTGACAACCGTGCCAAGAAGCTTATAGGTGACTCGGAAATAGTGGAGGCGAAGCTGCAGAGCCTTGAATACCGCCGTAAAGTTGCCAGCCTATCGGTATTTTACAGGACATATCACGGAGAGTGTGCGATGAAATTACACGATTTAATTCCGTTTTCCCCTTTCCATCACCGGGGGACTAGGCGTAGGCGTGGCTTCTACCTCTATGTTGTGGCTATTCCAAAGATTCGCACGCGTTACGCTTCCGCATTTATATGGCGAACGGCTATGGAGTGGAATTCCCTGGCTGCAGACTTGTTCCCTGAACATTATAACTTGAGCCTTTTCAAGGCGAAAGTGAATACGCATTACTTAGGTGTGCATGCTCCATTATCGACCTCATCGTCACTTTCCATCAGGTGAGATGGAGGTCAAATGCGAACTTACATTTTATAAAAAAAAAAATCTTAGAAAAGTAATTTTCTGGCATCGCCATTTTCGCATACACAATACGTAAGTGTGCGCGTGGGTATCGGAGCGCCTGATCGAACTGAACAGCGAGCCGATTGAATTTGTCGGCGGCGGCGGCGCGCCGGCGCGGCGCTCATGTCAAGGCCCGAAGGAAAAATGTTTGAGTATAGTTAAAAAAAGTATAGATTAACTTGGACTTTTTGAAGTTCGACTTCGACAATTCGACTAAAAGTACAAAGCTCCGACATTTTTAATCCGATTTCGAAAATTCTTTTTTCGTTCGAGACGGGGTACCTGTAGTGGCCACATTCAATTTTTTTTTTAAATATTCCTTCTCTAAGGGTGGCAAAATTACGAGGATGAATCCGGTTTATAGGATTTCACACACTTTCTGTTAATCAATTTCAATAAAACTTGGCAAATAGATGTAGTTCCACAAACTTTTGAGGTCGATTTTTATTTCAATCATAGTATTACTTACCAGCCACCGCTGAGTAACAGAAGTATCCCCTATGAGCGTAGCTAGTAGCCCACCCGGTTGTTCAACCGCTACTCCTCGCTTCTGCCCGGCTACCGAGCCCGCCGCGCTATCGGCCATGCCTGTAGCCAACGCTGTGAATCTACTATAAACCTGTAAAATTATTTCACTGTAAATGTGAAAAATATTTAACAGGAAAATAAAGTTCTTAGGCTTTCGCGATTGCTACACAAATGAAACATTTTTTTCGGATCAATTCATCACTAACAAATAATAGAAACATTTTTTTTCGGATAAAATCATAAACAATAAATAAAAACAAAAAAAAATAAAAATAATAAAATATTTTGTAAAACATACGTAACATAAATTGGAATGTTCTTTAGAAAATTAAATAAGGGTATTCAAATTAACAACTTTTATATACACAACTATATTGCAGAATAAGGTGGTTTACATTAATAATAGAAATAACTCATTGATGACTTTATATCTCAGTCAGGCATGGCCATAGAATCTGCAAATGTCCCAAAACGTTGGTTTGTTTGAAAAGAAAAAACAAATATGCACGATTTAGATCCGAACAAGTTTCATTTCCAAGGAAAATAAAGGGTTAACAACATTCACATAAACACTACACATGTTCCAGCAACGTAATCGTAATAAACGACATGTTGGCAACGTGAAGATTGCCTAGCGACAGAACAGAGCATAAGTTTGTTGGCTCAGTGTTGTTTAACAACGCAATAACGCAACAGCAATAACATCAAAAATCATGTTAAACATTAGAGTGCCACAATCAGTTGATTAAGTAGTAATGTTTCTTTCGGTTAAATTCAGGATTTTATCGTTGCCAATAATGGAATGATATTGTGTATAGATCACTTTGACGAAAATAACATTAATGCAAAAGTAATTGTAGTACGACTAGAAGTGGTTTCGCCATTGACCTTTGTTTAGGACTCTTACATAACATTTTTTCTTCACAACTAATTTTGTACAGATAAAAGGACTAATAAAATTTGTTTATTTATAAATTTGATAAAAGTTGTTGTTGTTGATAAAAGTTGGTCAAATTGATGTACATTACCTTATTTCGCACTTTTCTTGGAAAAGCTAAAAGATAGTTTCTACCATCGCTTGAAAACACTTCTAACGCGGTTGGTTGTAATAGATATCTCCTTTTATGGACTTCCCTGTTGACGTTTTTGATTATAAAATAAATGACATCATGTAAATTTTAATATTCCAAAGCACATAAATATTTTGCAGTCTTACCGAATATCTTCATACAAAAATTTGGAGCACTGCCTTTGATTGCTCCTCTGTATTCCTTGACTAGGGAGTATTGGTTCATAATCATCGGGGCAGCAGTCCAAATCTCTTATTTCTCTGTTCTTAAGCAAGGTGAAGCCATCGATGACGTAGCAGTGTTCACGTCCAAAGAGAAGTAAACCTTCTGTCGTGTCTAAGCCTTGTATTCTAGCGCATCGAAACATATGGGAGATCTACAAAATAGAATTAAAAAAAATTGTCACGGCCTTTTTATGATATCAAGTGACGGCCACTCAGAGCTTTATATCGCAAAGGTCTGAGGGACATTGTCGTTGCACCTCTCAGCCTAAGACGTAAGTCATTCTCATGTGCCTGTAATTTCACTAACACCCTTTCATAATCGGAACGCAGTAACGCCTCACATTACCACTTGGCGACAGAAAAACGTAAGATGGCAGTACTTCCCTGAACAAACGCTTCCACGAGGTATTCTACTCTAACGTGTCAAAGCAAGACACTGTAATATCTAACAGCATGTTGAAAAAGTGGTGAAATAGTTTTTGTTTTTTGTAATTTTCAAGTTAACAACACAAAATTTTGCCTTGACAACAACCGAAACATTCGTTTTAAAATTTCAAAACATCATATTGGGACTCGCAATGTTTTGGTTTGATACAATAGTATTGCTAATATATATTGCAGTGTTATATAACAGACATAAAGTGGTGACATAGCCGAGTTGGAAGATGGATGAAAAAAGAATATTATATCGTGTAAGAGATGAACAGACTGTACGTTGTTAACCAACGACAAAAAACACTTGAAATTACCTTTTCATGGTGTTCCAGTAGTCTTAGTAATGTTTGGTTGTCCGGTGCAGGAGGTTGTTGTTCGTCTTCTTCTTCATTGTCAGGACCATCTTCATTGGCTAGAATAATTTATAAAAACTTTATTACAAATATCGAGTTCTTAGGTTTTCGCGATATATATTTGTTTTTTTTTGTCACGATTGACTGAGTCAACCGTGACCATGGAACCTGTAAAGGGCCCGAAACGTCGGTTTGTTTGAAAAAACAAATATACGCGATTTAAATCCGAAAAAATAGTTTCATTTATTACAAATGTTTCATAAAGACAAAAATTTTATTGAACTACTTGTGGTGATAGTGTTTTGGTAGTTGTGAAGGTACCTGGCTGATTAAAGAAACTTTCATAAGTTTCTCACAGTTAGTGCTACGGCAAAAAAGCCGTTTAACCCAATACAAAGATCCGCAACACGCACATAGATAAATTCGTAAGATGTGCTGGTTCGATCCGTAGGTCTGTTGGTATGAACGGTAGTCACGTCGAGGCAATAGATTCGAGTCCAATAGGATCGAAGGAATTTTTTTTTATGTTTGTTCGGTCTTTATATCAATATTAATTGATAAAATTAAATTTTATGTCATGCACTAGCGTTTTAATGGATACCTCAATTAACTCACCAATTAAAATATTTATAGTACAAAAGTCTTGTTACCTTCGCTAGACGCTTGGTTGGTACCACGACTGACGACACCGCTGCTGACTAAGTCTGAAGGAGAGCCTTCCTCGTTATTGATGTCTAGTGACGGGTCTTTATCTTTACTGCGACTGAAAAGACGTTAAATAATATCGACTAATTACAAATCGATGATTTTGGCTGTGCAAATCATTGTGACTTCGTTGGATCATTGGGTCGCCATTTTAAGTGTTCTGATGTTAGTGACAATCTATGATCTAGTACTTTTACAATAGTAAAACTAATGTAACTTATACGCTTTCCAATCAATTGTGAAAGAGTTAATTGTTCTGTAAATAATTTAATAATACTGATTATTACTAAATTATTTACAGTTCTTCTGCTGAATAGATCGTCTCGAAAGATTATTTAGTAATTCCTATGTATACATTTCATTATTACTTGGTAACTTGCTCGTGGTATGCCTCTAAATCCGACGGATCAACGCAGTCCGCTTCGCCCAAATTGTTGCCAGCTGTTCGCCACTGCTGGTACACTTTGTAATACTCTTTGCTGTCCAGGCTCTGTGCGACTTTGTATTTTAATTGTTTCTGGAAAGTGAACAAGTTTCAACCAATCGAAACCAATTTCATACTAAATAAATAAACACGGTGTGCAAACTGTGTGTAATTTACGAGGAGTTGAAAATAAAGGCAAACTTTTTATTTGTAAATGACATTTACACAAAGCCAGAAAAGTTTTTAAAATTTTTGTAACCATGGAATAATGAACTTTAACGTGTAAAGTATAAACTGGATAAAAGTTAAAAAACAGTAGAGCATCTCGCGCAATCTCGGGAAGTTACTAATATGTACAATTTCCAAAAATTTGTTCTTATACCTTTCCGTGGTAATGCAAATTGAGTATCACGAATTGTATTTTTAACGCTTTATTTTATATGCCACTTATAATCAATATGACTTACATTTTCAGGATTTTCTAACTCTGGTCTGTACGGATAATGCAAATAAAACATGTGATTCCGTCGCAGCATTTTTCTCATTCTACAAGGTCCCTCAGTGGAATCCAAAGCCCATTTATCAAGATGCGACCCCCTTGGGGGGCCCCAGAGGCCTCGCTCCCGTGTGAGTTCACGCCATGCTCCGGCCCATTCGGCTTGAACGTAACGTGTCGTGTGTAAGGTTGTGTTAGTTGCCGTTTGTAATTGTACGCACCATGCTTGTCTGGGGAAGATGATAATAATTATGTGGATTAACTCTTAGGAGGTGCTTTGGCATTTAATGATAAAACAAAAAACGTAATAATTGATTAATGAAAAGAACAAGCAAAGAAAGCTTTATTCTCGCTCTAAGTATTATGTCGACTTAAGCTTGTATAATAATATTTTGATCTCAGAGCATGTACATACGTACACGTAACAAACTATAACTCATATGTTTTCATATATACATACCTAACTAACTGCACATGATCCTGCATGTAAGCTAGTGCGTGCTCTCTGGGAACGTGTGGCCTTTGTTTAGCAGAGTCTTCTTTCTTCACTTTAGTCCTTGACGCCAGTCGTGTCAGTCCTCCGGTGACTTTTTGAATTTTTGACTGAATTTGGTTGTGTAGCTCCCATGGTACGCGGTATGCAGCCTGTGAAGAAACAAGAAAGTAAATAAAAATTGGATTCAATATCGCACCTGCAGCCCTGTATCTATTTCTAATATTTGCATCGATAACTCGTATAAAAGAACATATACCGCATCTGTACATATTTGATAAAACATGTATAGGGACATTATAATGTTTTCAATCCATATTATTGAAACGTTTGTACCTACTATTTACGAGCGTTTACACGATGTTACGCTTGAAGCATAATTAATTTTCAATTATTTTTAGTGTTGAGACAAATAGTATATTCGGTTAGGATTCGGCTGTACGTACGTAACGCACGTACGATGATTCACATTGTGTCCGAGTCATCCGAGCCTCCGACGTGCCGCACGATCTTAAATTAGACTAAGTCAGTCAGTAGGACGCGGTTTACGTTCGAATACGAACGTAGTGTTATATCATATTATAAAGCACTGGGTAATTTATTTACTCTCTTAATTTTTCTCACTCACTCACTTAATTTTTCATCATCCATTTAAAAAAAAGAAGAACGTAGTCACCCTCTTTAATGTCGCACACTCAGACGGGGCGGGCCGAGCCGCATCCGAGGTTCGGACGAGCTCGGAAGCAGCTCGGGCGTGACTCGTCCGTGTTTTGGTCGCGACACGTTGTAATGCGAATCACTTCATATAAAATGTAAATCTCTCGCGCCCGGCACGGTCTAATGGTAAAGATAGCGTACCTGCTCTCTGATAGACCAGCTGTCACTACGCTTCACCAATCGCGTTAATTCTTGACTAGTTTTCATTTGATTAATGATTAGTTGTTACCTTTTGATCTCTTTAAAAAATCACTTAATTAGGTCACAATTCCTTTGATTTTTTTAGATGAAAAAGAGAAGAATTGCGCTTTTACGAAGTTACAATGTTAGTTAATAAAAATTACGTTTTACATTACATTTTTTTATTTTTCCACTGTTTTTAGGTACACGGTATCTGATGAATAGTTATTCAATATTCGACCAAATTACAAAAATAGTCCGAATAAGTCGCGTACCGAATAGTAACCTTTTTCGTAACTGGCTATGGAAAGAACAAATCTGCATCCGTTTCGTAACTGGAGTTTTGAATATGAATTAAATATTCCTTTTTAATAACTGGTTACAAAACAGTGAAGGAAAAATCTTCTTTTGTAACTAGTTATGAAAAACAGTTACGTAGATGGACTAAAGGGAATATTCGATACAATTCTTAATTGTTATTTAATACATACCTTTCTCTCAGTGTCAATATAATTAATCCATAGCTTATGTGCACTCTCGTTAAGCTGCTCTCTTACTGCAGCTAAATCTGGGGCGCGCGCATTTCCTACTGGCTGTAGTAGCGTGATCTTAAACACCTCTTCTATTGCTGGTTTCTTGCACGCATAAAGTTCCTCCCATACACGTCTTGCTGCCCCCGCCATTAGGTTGCGCCCTACAAATAAGCGTTAAGAACTGAAAAAGACTGGAGTAGAGATACCATAAGAAAAGAGATATATCTAGTTCTTAGGTTTTCGCAATTGTGAATGAAGCTACTTTTTCGGGCCTAAATCTCATATCTCATATATTTGTTTTTTTTTTTTTCAAAGAAACCAACGTGTGGGTCCTTTACAGGCCAACTGTGACTATGAGATCTGTAAAGAATCCGAACCGTTGGTGTGTTAAAAAAATTCGATTTTTGGTTTTATTTATAAAGACAATTTGAATCACTTATCGGAATAGTGGCTTTATCTAGCTCTATTTCGTAAGAGATTACGTTCTCCCTATTCATATTGCCACTCGCACATAGGGTGGCTATTGTTATTTAGGAATATTATTACACATTTATGATCATCACATAAATACATAATATAGTTAGACTCGTCATTATTTTGGTCAATCCAAGACATACCTTGGTGCGAAGTAAGTTTGTCGTCTCTAGATTCAAGGTCGCCGCTAGGATTCACATGCCATGTAGTTCGCATGTGCGAATCCAACGCGATCTTCATGTTGGCACTGAGTTGCAGCAGACAGTATGTTAAACATCCAATGAATTCGAGTTCGTGGTTGCCTGCTCCGAATATAAGAAGTCTGAAATTACGTGAAATTGTTTGTAAGAAGTCGATAAACATTTGAAGGCGAACGGGGTACTTGTGTGTAAAAGGACAAGGATTAAGGAGCTAAGGATTTTTAGGTAAAATGTCAAGTACTGAGTACAAAGACGACGGCAATGGGAAGAAATTTTTAGGCATCCGATTAATGGTACACATTCATAGACGTATGTTTTTGGAGCTAGATGGTAAAACGATGATAGTGACGTTGTTTTTATCTTTCTAGCAAATGAAATGAGTGAAATACAGAGTAGAATAAAACGCTTTGGATAAAAAACAGCTACACATTTACCTATTAGTCGTAAGTTTGTGTAGTGCCTCAAGCACTGACATTTGGTCCGCTATGGAGTCTGTCGATCGTGACAGTAGGTACAGAATCGTTCTGTTCAAACAATGGTGCAATCCCTCCAATGATATGACTGAAGACTTCTTTTTTGCTTGTGTTACCAGTTTAACTATGAAATCGAATACCTGAAAGATATGCAACAATTCTTTTCGTTTGTAATCGGCTACATAAATTAACTAATTGATCAGAAGGACAGCAAAAATGCTCCAACCTTGTTTCTGAGTCAATCAGCAAAAATACTCTTACCTTATTTCTGAGTCAATCAAACTCATGAAAATCAACTTCGAAAGACAACCTTGGTGGCTCAACTGTTTACACTATGGGCACTGGATGACGAGATTCTGGGTTCGATTCCCGGTAAAAGCAATTTTGGAAACCAACTTTTGTAATTGCTTCTAGTCCGAGTGTTCTGGGTAGTGCCCGGGAGTGAATTCCGTTGCTCTGGTTTTCATTGTACAGGGAAGTTCCTAGTTTGACGTCAGGGTGTGGTTGTTTCGCATATTATTATTACAGAACCAGTCGTTTTCTTTCATTTTTATCTTTATATTTTTTATTTACGACGAAAATCTAGTCTATTTATACGCTTAGTTCACCACATACACATCGAAAACAGCTCAAAATAATGTTATTACTTACCTCATGAGGATCTCTTGAAAGCTGTCCTTGCCATAATTTGTCAACAAGCCTGGCAGCTAAATAACAAACGTTCGATATGTTCGGCTCCGTTCCAAACAATTCTGTATTCGATAAGTTTTCCATCATAGTCGTAAGTACTTCGGTTTGGTACTCAATCTGTTGTTGACTAGTCGAGTTTGCAGGCGACGCATCCAAAACTAAGTCGATTACCTGATGACAAATTTGTTCATTCATTTATCGGCCCTCATTACACACTAACGAGACGTTAAAACTAATCAATTTTTATAACATAGAAAATAAAGAGCTAAATCGAACGATGTAAATAGCTATTTTCTTTCAAAATTGTAATTTAAGTCCATTCGTGCTAAAGGAGACAATATGGATTTTACGATACAATTGTTGACAAATAATATTTAAGAAACTTGCTGTGAAAGACATTTAAATTTGAAGAACAATAATTACATTATTAAATACTTTGTGAATATAAATAAATAAATGGGTAATTTGTAGGTTAGTTTTCTCTACCTAATTTCGGTGGTAATGTTAATTAATTAAATATGAAGTATTACTTAATATTTGAGTTTTGTATCCTGAAATATTATTAAATACTTAAATAATAAAAAATGCCACCGAAATCTAGCTGGAAAATTACCCAAATACTGAAATTGGAAAAAGTGTCAAAGTACAATGACACCATTAAATATAATATAGAAATACAAATACTATATTAACTTTACTGTGTAAAAATACTAACAGATGATAAGCGAATTGTACTGTTGTACAGCCAAACCGAAGGTTTATGGTATATACATTGTAGAGTGAAAATGCTTTACATTTTCAATACATCTATGAAAAATAGAGACAATAGCAGACACGAGAAGCAAATATAAACAATAAAACTATATAGCGACATACTAGTGAATGCAATGCATGAAAAGTAAAATGCATGTTGTATTAAGAAATTATTTCAAATGAATTTGCACAGGTGCTCGAATTAGAAAATTAAAACAAGCAAATGGTAATACGATATAGTTGTAAGTTTGATCATACACGTGTTAATTTGCCAAATTTCAGTGTGTTATTGACGAATGCAAATAAAAATTAAAATCCGCATATTTACGCAATAAAAATAAGATCGTGGGGCCGAGCACGGGTTACAGGGCGTACAAAACATGGTCGGCGGCACCGTGTCCGCGTGTGCACCGCTCTAGAAACAATCCAGGGCTTTCATTGTCACTGCTTTAGTATGTTGTAACATACCTTGTTAGCGTTGGTTTTACGCCACTTTTAATCGCGCCATGATTTCCGTCGTATTGAAATTTCTTTGTGGCAAATGTTCAATGAAAACAAATGAGCGTCCTAATAAAAGTAGTTCGTCGTCTTTCAATATTAACACGCCTTTACACTTTTGAAAAAGTATTTAAAGGTAAAGTTCCAAAAATAAATTATAATATATTTTTTAAAATTATTAATATTTTTTATTTAATGACACAACCTATAAGCCTTTCGTCTTTACACTTACTTCTCGTTTCAAACACACAGTAAGATTACGAGATAGTGTTTAGGTAACATAAGTCATTATTTTACAAATATGTTCCACAAGTGTCACAAGAGAACTATTTTTACAGCTTAATGTTGACAAAAAATCACGTAGCGTATACTACGTTAATGGTATTCATTTTGCTCAATGTTTAGCAAAATGCAGTTCAAGCACTTCAAACAGTTTTTGTAAATCATTTAAAATAAGACGAATATTTCAAAGAAAATTTCAATTGCCAAACCATTCGTTCCGAACATATGACAAGTAGGAACAAAATTTGTACTAAATTTGGTGGAGATTTGATTCCTTTTTATTCCAAATCAAAAGGTTAAGATCCTGCAGTTAACGATTACAATATATAAAATAAATTAAGTATAGTCAAGTAGTCAGAATCGGCACTTTGTTTACTTCTATTGCAATTCAATGAATGTTAAATTAGCATCGCACGTACCTTAAATCACAACATCGAAATACGAAACCACTATAGAGTGGCGTTAGGAATCATAACTAAATAGGCAACTATATTTGTTTAATTCTTGCTAACTTTCTTACTTCACTTCCCTAACCTTATGTTAACCTTAAAAAGGTCTTAGAGGTCATACAATACTAGAGGACTACTGAATGTCAAATGACTACTACTAAGAAAAAATACATGCACAAAACTATTATCATAAAAAGTTAAGATTCCTCGCATCTCACGCGCCAATACAACATCTAACTTAATGATAAATATCTGCACTCACCGGCGTCGCCTTTCCAGAGAAGCTGAGTGTCATGGAGTCTAAAACAATGACTCGTAAGAAGTCCATAACACCTTGCCTGACAGGGTGTTGAGTGAGGGTGGCCGCACTGTTAACTAAGACCACTTCCTTTTCAGACCCAGGTGTAGACGCGCCTGAACTATCGCCGCTTTCACATATAGCTGTTTGACAATATAAACCATTATAAAGGATATTCAAAATATCGTAACATTGCCGCGCTTACAACAAGCACGCAACTAATAACGGAACTATACTATGTAAGTAAACCGGCACCGCTAAACGTCAGGTTAAAAATGTATGCTTCTTTTAAAAGTTAACTGATAAAAGTAGAGTTTTGGTCAGTAAGCGTAGTTAACGCAGGTTGCAAGTTCAATGCAGTAGCGCTCCTTGTGAAAGAGTTTGTCCAGGGTAGTACTGCCGCCAGCAGTAATGTTAGCATTACTGTGTTCCGGTTTTGAAGTGTAAAGGCCCATTTAGATGGAGAGAGTTTCTCGCACGCTTCGTGACGAAAACTCGTAGGCGATTATCGTAAGCAATAATCGCCATAAGATTATCGTATCATAATGTTTACATTCAGGCAAGAACTAAAATCTCGCCTACGATTATGTCCCACGAGATTCGCAAGCAACTTAATCGCCTCCTCGACTGTTTACACGGAGAAATATGTAGTAATGAGATTCTTGCTTACGAGTTTTCGACTTGTCTAAACACGATCTCGTATAACATTTTTTCAAGTTCATACGATAATTGTACAAATCAGTTCGAACCGTTTTGAGTGCGAGAATTGCCATTCGAGTTCAGTGATTACTGCGGTATGATTATGGATATATCAAAATGATGCAAAAACCATTCAAATTCGAAACTGCTGATAATATTAAGTTCATTGCACTGTATAGAAATATAATTTTGATTTATCATTTTTTTTTAATTTTTCAAGTTGGTTGCCATATTCGTTACGAGAGCACCCTAAATACTATATTGCCCACGCTATATTCGACCACAGAGGCACTCACTCACTCACCGTTATTTGAAATTTTTTTTTTCGCCCTCGTTCCATTAATTCTTGTCTTAGAAAAGCAGTGATAATCAAAACACCCTCGCGCACTGCACTCGTGGTAGAAACGGCTGGCACAGAAACTCGAAATACGATTTTTGCTTTCGAGTTCTGTTTACACGGAGACGTTCAATATTGAAAGGCGAGGAGATTATCGCTCACGTGGACGGTCGATAATCGCGAATGTTTAGACGAGGAAAGTTTTTTTATATTCTTTCGATAATCGCATCTTCGAGACAAGAAACTCTCTCCATCTAAATGGGCCTTAAGGGTGCAGGTGAAATTACAGAGATATGGAACTTGTCAACTCCGTCTCTGGTGACGGGCGCAGTGGCACTACCCCTCAGAACTTTGCGATTTAAAGCTCTTAGTGGCACTGCTACTGTTATGGATGTTATGGTACAGGCGTGTAGCTTACCATCAGGCGCACGACTTGTTCGTCCCGTCCCGTCACTTGATATTATATATAAAAATGCCAGTACGTCTATACTTTTGTTACATGATTCTTTGAATCATATTTCTAGCGGGAAACGACACAGGAGAACACATTATAGTGCAGGAGCACACTATCTTGGCAAATCTACCCTCTGGACATAATTTTAAAGATCGACGTTGAACTTCTTAAATTAACTCTGTGCGGAAATTGGCCCGAGTTGGTACACAAGACAATCCTTTCAAGTAGGGATTCATTAAAAATTCATTTTATTCATTCATTGTCTCGCCCAGTATGCGCTGACACGCAGAAGAGCAGGGAATGGCCTGTACCAAGCTGATGAAAATTTACAATCAACTTGCTATCGAAAAGATAGGGCAAGGAGAGCCTATCTACTCATTAATATATATAACTTTGGTTGTACTTAAAAGATCCTTAGATAATAATTAATTCAGTTAAAACGCAATGTATACCAAATTTATAAAAGTTAACCACCAACATCCATCACTTCGTTTCAATTACGTGTGAGAAAATTGTTAATAAAGTTTTAAATGTACTTACGCATGTGAATATCATCGCTGGTGTTAGGCGGGAAAAGCGTAGACGCGAGCGCAGTCAATACCTCTGCGGTCATCATTATAGTTACGAAATCCGGTAGAGTATTGTACAGGGAGAACAAAACCTGGAGAATACAATACAGTTTTAGAAAATAATTAATTAATCAAATTCTTACTTTTATTAGAAGTTAATAAATATTATTCCACAATCAGTAAAAAGCATATTAATCATTCACTATCATAATTATTGTGTAAAGATTCTTAAGACGTATTTATTGTATAGAAAATAGTAAATAAGAGAAAATATACACATTTGATGACTTTCTAGAATAGCGGCCTATAAAAAAACATTATTTCCAAGTATACCGTATACCGATCCTATGTCGACTCGTGATTACTTTGACCAATGGAAAGCTCTTACTCGTAATAAAATGTGATATATTCTGAATATAGTTGTGTAATAACAAAAATAATTATAGTATTTCGCAATGTCTCTCGACATTCGAATACAAACTGCAGTGTTCAGTAATTATTAGATAGATAATCTATAATTAGAATCCAAAACTACGTAGTTTATTGATTTTCACGTGAATTATATAGAGCTATAAAACTATTTCCATTTTTATAATAACATTTACCCCATAACAATATACCAAGAAAATTAGCAAAAATATAACCAAAATGAAGAGTAGTAGCTACACTGTATACTTCCAAATCGGTTGAGTGCACCAAGTGCTGATAGAAGTCCGACGACAGCCGAAACATGAAGACTGCCGCGAGATAGTTGTACTGTATTTTGTTGAGCAGCTATTCACGAAAGCAGCGACGTGTCAACGATTGCATTAGTAACATGTTGGAGTATAAAGCTAGCAACTACCTGTATAATAGCAACGGCATGATCGTTCAACCATTCTGGTAGAGTCCCAGCCTCAGCATGGATCAAACTTCTAACTGCTCCTAATAAAATAACCACAGCTTCAGGGCATAGGGTGATTCTTGCCGCGAGAGCGGCGGATGATTGCCTCGATGGAGCCGCGGCGCCCCATGCAGTCGCCCATACTCTTTCAACTGAAACCACTTTCTCCGCACCTACGTTCCGCATTGGTTGGCCTAATGTTAGTCCGAATAAGAGATAGTATAACTCGGGTATCTGCACGTGTGAGAGAACAAGCCTGTAAAGAAATGAATACAGTACGTATACTGATATATATATATATAATATAAATACTAGACAAAATCACATACTTTGCTCTGATTCCAATGTAAGTAACTAAAGCACTTGTGTCATGGAAACTGGAAACAACGACAGCACCACAAACACCCAGACCCGAGACAATATACAAAAGTTAGTTTTCTACATTGACCCGCTTTTGATCGACGCCGGGTCCGTCCACAGTTCGCAGAGATAGCGATACCATGACAACCACTATGTATTAAATTATGTACTTTATAGCAAAATATGTGGTTAAGGTTTTTTATCGTATTTAGTTGTATTTAGCGACTCCTTACAATGATTTAACGACATCATTATGTTCAATAATACCCATGCCGTAGCTATTAAACTAGCAGAGTCATTATGCGATTGGTCTAATTCGATTACCATATTACGGTAAGATGCTTCGTGACACAGCAACAATGAAATGTTTTTAAAATATTTTTAATACGCTTCAAAAGAGTTGAAGACACCGACATGTACATGGTGGGTGTCTTCAACTCTCATCCGGTACGTCACTAATGGAGTACTTGTACAAAGTTAAATGCAGCCTTTAGAATCGCAACATGACAAAATACTTAAATTCCTATATAGTAACATTATGTACATAAGAATATCACAATCATAAGTAAAAAAGCCATATTATATTATAATTTTGTTTATGTAAATATTGATTATAATCAATCATAACTAAGGATTGCTGCTTGATAAAAAAAACCTTAAATTCTTTGATTCAGTGTTCTGAATACGAATAACAGACAAAAGAACTCTACAATGGTGTCATTGTCAAAGTTAAGGTAACTACCTGGTTAAATATTATATCTTCGAATGAAGCGAATGAGCTTCAAGAAGTTCGTTTGATCATCTATTACATATTATTTTTTTATTTCGTTGCAGTCCAAGTGAAGTCTGCTGTCATTTGAGTTTGTTTTGATGAATTTATGTAAAAATTGCCTAGTATGTTTCTTACCAAGCCAATAAATTGAATCCCGAAGTGTGCAATAGCGACGTGTGCAAATGCGATTGCGATTGAACCGCCGAAGTCAGTACTACGCCTGCTTGTTGTTGAGCAGCGACCATTTCCGTGTGTCGTAACCAGCCTCCGTTACCAAGGCCTTCACGAAACCTGCGAAGTATTATCTTATTAGATGGACCATATTTTCAAACGTAAGTATGAGTAATATTAAATCAAATGGCTTCAAAATTCGCCCATTATCATAGGCGATTATCATAACAAATTTTGTATGGATACACGTACGTGGACTACGGTACTTTGCACGAATGTTAAGTAGGTATATTAACACGAACACGGTAAATCACACTCGCGTAGTGATTTTTGCATACAATATAATATATAAATGTATTTTCAAGATGCTTACAAAAATACAGAAGTGACATACGGCAACTTCGATAATAAAGTGACATAATTCCAAAAGTAATTTGTTTTAGGGTAATTTATTATAAGTAAGTAGGTATTTAATATAATGTAATTTGTTTTACTGACTGAATTTATTTAAAAATGTGCGACATAAAAGTGACACGTAGCTTTCTTAGGCTTTCGCTATTAAAAAAATAACATTTTTTCGGATATAAATAGAGTCAGTCATGTTCGTGGGAACTATAAAGGTTTCGAAACGTTGATATGTTTGTAAAATTACGTGGTAGTTACGCGATTTAAATAGCAAGAATGTTTTATTTCCAATGTAGACAGATAGATAAAACGTTTATTCACCATAAATACAAGCAGAAACAAACATTTACAAATGACACAAAAGCACATACAATATTGACAACACACGTTTGTAGAGAAAACTAAAATTTTATACTGATCATTCCTATTTGCCACAGTATGTGCTGATCCTGACAGTAAAAATACTGTAGACCGTGAAAAGTCAAACAGCGCTGGTTTTCTGTCAGTACTATATGGTGAGCGATCGTAATAACGAAGTAAAGTACATCATCACCCCACATGGAAGAATGGCATAAGTCAAGTTAGGTCAAAAATGTTTATTGTTGCATTAAACACAGAAAAATATAACCCACACCCTCTCCAACTCTTGTAATAATTCTCCTATTTTAGTGTATAGATTTACAAGAATTGGAGAGGATGTGGGTTATATTTTTCTGTATCTAATGGAACAATAAACAGTTTTGACGTAACTCCATTTATGCCATTCTTCCATGAGGCGTGCTTTCATTAAAAAATGTTATATTTGGCACAAGCCAAATGTTACGAAATAATAAGTTACATTTTGAATTTCGTCACTTTGAGTTTATTATTGAGTGTGCGATAATTACCTTTGCATAATAGCTGATTGCTGCCCCTGTCCTGAGCATAGGATGACCAGCATCCTCATAGCCCAAAGAACGGTAGTTGGATGCACATTTTCCTGCATAAAGCTAAGTATCCAATCAAGGCCAAGTACTCGAGATATCTCCTCGCATACTATCGTGTTTACTAAATTCCTTGGAGTAAAAAGTAGCCCGTGTAACACGTTGAAGCATTTGTTGCGAAGTATTATGTGTTCACCTTCACATTCCTTCTCGCAGTCGCTCTCTTTAAGGTTTATACCTTTCTCTGTTTGCGATGGTAAAGGCAGAGTAAATGCCATGAATTGTCCCAAGCAAAGAAGATCGCTTGGTCGTGGCTGTCCGCCTAGTAGCGCGGCCAATAATTGGATTAGGACATTCTTTGTGCTAACGACTTTAACGTCATTGATTATGTAGAGAAGCTTTGGGACAAGTTGCAATTCTCTCATTGTGCGAAGATTGTGCGTTCTATGTGCTGTTTCTGTAGCAAGTTCTAGTAAATGTTCGAGTAGGGACTTTATAAGGCCACTAGGGGCACCGAGCCACACTTCCAATTCGCAAATTAGGTCCTGGAAAAGAGAGTGCCAGTCAAGGACGGCTTTCTGTGCCGTCGATAATAGGTTGTAGATATCAAAAAAAAGCATAAATAAATAAACATAATATAAAAGAAAATAAATGTGAAGCATAACAATTACATGAGAATATCAAAAATTAATAAGAAAATAGAAACTGCTAACAGATTATAGTAAAGAATTTAAATGTCACCAAAATTTTCATATAAAATGAAAGTAAATGGTAAGACTGTTACGATGCCAACATTATACATATAAAAAAGTAGGTAAACAAATTGAAATTGGATAATAATTTCCAATGAAAACAATTCGTAAAACTTACTTGAAAAGCAGTCAAATTAGGTATCGAAGAAGTTTCCTTCTGGCTATCAACAGTGCCAACCAATCCAAATATCAAGTGTAAAATATGAGAGTTCAATAATTGTTTCTTTCTCTTCAGCAACATAGCGAGGGTTTGGTATCCTTTTCGGCGATCCATTTCAGCCTGTGCCGCTTTGTTCGACCGTACTACACAGACAAGGGCCTTCACGCCCGCGTAAAGACATTCCACGTCTTGAGCCATCGCAATTAAACCTAATAATACTGAACAACCGCCTACTGTATCGATCTGGAACATAAAAAAGCTTATAGAATTATCTTATTAATCACGCAATTTACTAATCCAATCGCTTCTTGAAAATAAATGTAACCTTGCCATAGAATGTAAAAATTAAGATACGTTAAACCTTAGCTTTATGCGAATCTCGGTATTTATGTATTTACGGTTATTTATGACAAAAATACACCAGAATTTACAGAATAGCCGAATATCCGACAAATACACAAAAACTCACCATAATAGCAGCAGGTTTTGGGCAAAACACTCTCACGCCCAAATATCCAACCACCGTTCCACCTAGGCACCTCGCCGGGCCCATAAGGTGTCCTGCAGAATTATGTAATATCCTTATTGGCGTCGCATTTTCATGAGACGACATACCCAGCTGTTTTGCAATCGCTTTATTGTCGTTCTTGCTATACACTTTGCGTATCTTTGCCAATGTTAATTGAGACATGGCTCGGGCGTTTATGCCGAAAACAACCTTCTCTTCGGCGACTAGAGGGGTCAACGGTTCCTGGTTCTGTCCGGGCGGTAAAGGCGCTTGAAGTGTACCAACGTAGTGAGGACCTAGCTGGTAGATAACAGATACTGTTTGTGCTGGGAGTACCTGCAAGGAAAAGTATTACATAAGTATTGTCAAGTGTGTGTCACAGCACCAAAATTTAAATGAAATTATGCTTCATTGTAATTTTATTAAAAGTCACTTCTTAAAATTAAACTCACAGGGACCGGATAGCATAAGAAGGGTTATTACATTAACTAGAGGACACCAGTAGCTGTTAAATATTCAAGAGAATCCAGTAAAATAGCCATTTGGTCGTTACATTACAAACCCAAATCACTAGCATTAAAACTGTACTGTACATCAGAGATGTACTGCCACTTTACTTATTTCTGCTGCCAAGCAGTAATGTCATTAGTACTGCGTTTCGGTTTTGAATGGCAAGGGTGCTCGTGATATTACATGCACATAGGACTTGCTTTGTTTGAATAGCACTGCAACTGTTATGGATAGGCCTATCGCTTACCAGCAGGTTATTTGACCTATCACATATCATAAAAAAAACATTTAAATGGGTAGTTAACAATATGTAGTACATTTTGTCAACTACATACATTGACTTACAAATAAATGGACGTCGGGTCCGCGCTAAAAAGTGTCTGAACTTACAGGGCGTTAAAATCGTATACAGAGCGTCAATCACGCTTTAGTCTTCGTTTGTTCGACTGACAGCGCGTTTGTCAATGATGCCATATTGTGCAGTAAAACCTAGTAAAAATTACTCAACTAAAGTGAAATGGATGATAATATCATATTTTCAGTAAGTACTACATTGTGTTATCATAGTTATCATTTAAAAGTGTTATTTTATGCACTAGTATATATAGTATTTAATATATATTTCAATTAATCTTAAATATAACTTACAAAAGCAATCAAAATAATCAAATAGCTAACTGTCTCTTTCCGACTCATTGCTTGCATAAGAGACTGAACGAGACCCATCACGTCAATTTCAATTGTTTGAAACACAAGCGTTTGAAATATTTAGAACAAAAAATTCATAGAGTCGCTTTGATGCTAATGTTATTATTAAAAAAAAATACATATTAGTACTACTTTCAAATATTGTTGTACTTTACGTTGTTACGTTGTTACGAATCAGAAGACCGAAAATACATTTGGCCGAAATAACGTTTGCATGAATTTCTATAATCCCGAAAGTATTTTTTTAGGTTTTTCGGGAGAAATATGTGTATGGCCTACATTTATTTCTTTGTAGTTGTCTATATGTGAGTCCATGGCACCCGCGATACAGGGTTTCCCTAACGCGGGGCAATGTTGAGTGTGTGCGTTATTATAATTATTATTATTAATTAGTACCTAAGTGTTTATTTTGGAAAGCACTTCTCTTGCGCAATCAATATCGCGCAATTTAATTTTGTAATTATCTCACAACGGCAAATACCCTACTACCGTAATAGCCGTACTTTTCATGCACAAGAAATAATTGCAAGAACTATGAACAGTACGACTATGCCTGTTGACGGAATCAACCGTCGTCAGTGATAAACCGTATATGGAAAAGTGGTGACGTTTTTGAGCGCAGTATAATTTCAGTACTATGCACGAACGGGTTAAGAAAATGGTAAGAAAACAAAGGAAACCAGAGCTGATGCAAGCTTGATTAAAGATCATAATATTAAAGCTTTGGTATGGGATTAAAGCTTTGGTATGGGATTACATCAATCAGTGAACTGTGCATAGAAAAGAAAGAATACAGGAATTTATCCAGGAAACATAGCTTGAACTTAAGAAGAAAGTGACAAGTATTAACAGAGACATCTTACACCGCCAAAATGCATTAAACATCAAAAGTTGGATGAATGACAAAATATACCAACTTAAGAAACAAAGAAGGTAATTGAAGCAGACTGACAGTGCAAATTAAATAGGATTTTTTTAAAGTTTAAGCAGTTTGTAGCTTTCACATGCAAACAATGCATAATAATACAAATAGTACAACCTTGATAGCCTAACGGCTTGCACTGTGGGCACTGGATGAGAAATTCCTAAGACTGGGTTCGATACCGGTAGGATCAATTTAACAAATTAACTTTTCTAAATGGTTCAGGTATTGGTATTCTATTGTAAGACAATCACCTGGTCTGAAACTAGGAAACTCTCTGTACATACTCCCCAAGAGTATCAGAGCAACAGAATCCCAGAGCAGAACTAATTTACAAAAGTTCATTTCCCAAATTGGTTCTACTGGAAATCGAACCTGGGATCAAGAACAATGGAATTTATTCCGGGGCATAACCAAGAACACCCGGGCCAAAACAACTTTGGAAAGTTCACATTTAGTTTTATAGTTGATTGAGCTGATTTTTTACGGTTTTTAGAAAAATTCTCGTATAACTCGAGAAATCGGATTCGAGAATTCTCGAAACTCAACAAAAAAAAAGTCAGACACGCTAGCTCGTAATAAATGGCATTGTATAAAATTCAACATTTACGTATAAAATTTATTTATAAATAATAAAGGCTACTCCATTATACCTGTGTTCAAGTAGTTTTCACTAGAAGCTACATATGGTGCATTTTGGTTAGTAGAAGCTGAATACGGTGTTTTTTTTTGCGCCTTTCAATTGTTGCAAGCAAAATTAGGCAGTACTGCAATGACATTACAATTTAAATTCAACGTTTTAGCTTTTTCATATTCCTTTTACATGTCACTACGTTTAAATAGGTTGACTTGGGACATTTTTTTCGTGGTTTTTGTATTAGACCCGTCGTCCATTTATTTGTAAGTCAATGACTAATTATTATTATGTACCATATGATGTAGTATAGTTGTGGATAGATATGTCGCTTACCACCAGGCACCAAGACTTGCTCATATCATAAAAAAAACTCCAATTATTAACAAAAAAATTTTTACGCAAGTACTCACGTCTTCAAGTAACAAAGCAGGTCCCTGCCGCCATACCAGTCGAGAGTATCGTCGCCACTGCGGGGGAGTTCCAATCACGCAGTAAACACTTGACGCCCCCGACAGAGTGGCTGCCCCACCGCCGGGGTTCGCGCTTACATAATGCAATTTGCCAGAATGCATGTGTTGACCTGTGACAATTAAGGTGCTTTAAGCCAAAAGAATTTGCATATCGACTGTGAACTGGCAATTGGTACTACCTCAATTTTGACAACTTTACAGGATGAAGAAAAAAATTTTTTGCGTCATTTATATAGCATCTAGTTAATTAAATAAAAATACGTAGTTTTTAAAAATTTTACGTAGATACGTAGTGTACATACATACGTGTGTAATGTATGTGTGTACACTACGTATTTTTATTTAATAAACCAGATGCTTTATAAAGGATTTTTTCTTCACCTGTAAAGTTGTCAAAATTGAGATAATACCGGTTGCCAGTTCACAGTCGATATCACGTTTTCCAAATGTATAATACACTTGGGATATGCGAGACCAATCTTTCTAAAAATCTGGTTAATGTGAAAAATTCATCGAGTATATAACCAGAAATAAGGGCCAACCATCCCTGGCAACTCATCAGGAAAATGGGTCTTTTAAAATATAAACTCCCGTTTGTGCTGAAATCACAAATCAGACTGCTAAAAAAGTACAGCGCCAACAACTGACCTGTGGGTACGTCTGCGTAGATTCCAAAAATATTCTGTATTTATTGTAATAAAGATAATATATAGATATATATATATATATATAATATAGATAGATAACCATGGGGGGTTGTTCCATTCGGGGTGTGGGAAAAGCAGCAAAACATCTAATTAGAAGCACATTTCATCGGTAATTAAATATTAAATATGTAATTTTTCTACTTTCGTCCATTATAACACAGCTCAAGTTAAACGGGTCGATTTGAAGTAAAACAATTGACGACACCCGTCAATTGTTTCGAATTCGGGCTGGCCAATGGGAGCGCAGTAATGATTAAGTAAGTAAATAAGTGAATAAGTAAATGATTTGGCAGAATAGTTTTCAAACAAATTAAATGACATTTCTACTCTATTTCTGGTTATATACTCGATCGAAAAAGTAGATCACAATATTTTAGCACTTCGTTTTTATCTAATACTAGTTAAACCTAACGGAATTCAAGGACGTTTTGAAAACATAAGCAGCATTTGGTAGCAATTACAAATTTACCATCCAGATATAGCGAGAAAGAAGAGTTCTTAAGAACGGCCCTGTTGAGCACAAGAGCGAGATGATGCCACTGCCCCTCATGCTGAAGATCAGGGCACCAGACGCGCGCGCCGCATTCGCCTGACCCTTCCGGCTCCCATTCGCCTACATCTATATGAAGAAAAATACCATTTTTGAAATAATTATCCATAAATTAATAACAAAAATATTGTATTTTTGTAAAATTATTACAACTTACTAAACTAGTATTAAATCACTGACACTTGAAACTCTAAAGACATATCTGCATTGACCTACCAACAAATGGACACCGGGATTATGCCGTACTGTACGTAATAAAAACTTATAAAAATTACATATAAAGTACAAAAGCAATCAAAATAACCAAATTACTAACTATCCTACACATCGAATGCGTATAAGACAGAAAGAGATCCATTTTTTTATACGTAACAGGCAGATGACTCCACTCCACCTGATGTTAAACAGAAAGTGGACGTGAAGAAGAAGAATCCAAACGTGAAGGAACCTAGTGCAGTGTTGATACGGTCACCGTCCTAGTCACCTCCACCTTGCATACCGACAAGATGCCTCTTCACGCCTCGTTTGAAAGATCCCATATCATAAGAGTCATTGAATACACGTTTAGTTTAGAATTAGAAAAACTGTTTTACAGTAAAGGAAAATATCATGAGAATTGATGACAAATGATATATATAAATGATGCGATAATATGTTTATTTTTTTTAATAAGTTTCCGTTTAATATTTTTAGTCTATGTTTCTTTAAGTTTATTCTATAATGCAAGTTTATGAAATCGATTAAGGGTGTATGTGCGCCTAGCTATACGTATGTACGGTGCAACAGCTAGTAGTTAAGAATGTTTTGTGTCGAATAAAGCCAGTGCGTAACCAAACAGTGAGCGTTTAGCTAGACCCCTACACACGTACGTTTACATATACAACATAAATATAGAAGATTTTCATTTAATATTTACCTAATACCACGAGTAAACGAAACGTAATAATTACACAAATTTAGATATGTTTGAGAATTTCGTTACACGGCATTTATTAAATTAATTTGCGCTTGATAAAAGGCTCAAAATTTCCTTTTGTCTAATGCTAAAAGAAACGAAGTATAAGTTTGGGGAGTTCTAAATGAAAGAAATACTCACTATGCGGCAATAAGGTCTCCTGTGTAGAAACTATAATAGCCTTATCCCTTGCTGACAACACAACGGTCAAACAGACAAGATGCTCATCGCGACTGTTGCTGATGTTCCGCACAAGGGTCAACAACCTCACACAGTGCGGGTCTGAGCGAGGGTCAGAGTACTTCTCAACGCAAATCCATGTTGAATATGTGAGGCCCGTTTGTGGCGGGAATACTCTATCGCCTGAAAAGAGAGAAGTTTTATGACATTTCAAAATTGGAAATAATTTCATAATACATTTGGTACATTTAGCGGAACGAAATAATGTGACAATTTGAAATAGTAACGCTTTTAAATAAATAATAATTAGATATAAAGTACCAGTTAAATTAACGTCTTTTAACATCGACTAAGGGTGAGGCCAGACGAGCGTAATTTTGTGAGTTATGCAGTTTGCGCTCGACCGAAATTCAGTACTTTTATATGAAACCGAATGCAGCGCAAACTACGCGACTCACAACTCACAAAATTACGCACGTCTGGCCTCACACTTAGTGCAGCCTTACTCAAACTTAATTGACAAGAATCGAAATTGAACGAAATGTATTTTTTTAGATTACATAACGAATCAGAAACGGCTGAAAATTTAACATTGTTTAAATCAACGTTTAATGAATAAAAAACAACATGAAAACTACTTACCTGAACCAATTCCGCCCAGCGTAGCATTGTCTTGTGTTCCAAGAGCGTTGAGATTAGCAGACTGTGGCGCGATGCTTGGCAGGTAGAGACAACCGAACCCTTCCGCTGACATGTCGAACTCCACAAATGGTGGCAACGTACATGAGTTTTGGGACCTGAAAATTTTATTCGTAAAGCCCCAAAAGTCTTGGAGGAAAAGAAATTTCATTCTTCAATGCACTAAAGGAAGCAATATTGTAACCTCTACACCCAGCACCCACATTGAAAACCATTAATACACTACCGAGATCGTCTAACAACAAGCACGTAGAGAATTCAGTAAGAGCTCGATCGTAGCTCAATTGATAAGTGCGGTAGCCACGTTGTCACAAAACACACTAGTTCGGGTCCAATCGGATCGAAGGAATTTTCATATTTAATAAAGAAAAACATCATAATATTTAATTAAAAAAACGTAACGTTTTTAAATGTTCACCTGTAATCTCGGGGTGTGGTCATGGAGACCAAAGTCTTGATCCTGGTAAGTGGAACGGGACCGCCAGGCTTGCAGACTTGCCCGGGCTCCGGCGCTACGCAGTTTAGAGGGTTGCCCATGCGGAGAAATTCCCTGTGCAGAAAATGATAACAAGATAAAAAATACTCGTTAAACTTCGAAATCAGTTTAGTTACAGGTCGCCCTTGTTACTTTTCCCGAAAGCGAGATAGCGGGGTATTAAATAAAAACTGACTAAATATGTCAAGGATTAAATGTAAATCTACAAACTTACATTTCTGATGTATTGACGATGAGTTGCAATTATAAATATTTATTTTATTACGCGTCCCTAACGATTTTTTTAAACATATTGTGTTAATTGAATATCATAATGTTTTACTACCATTATATACATCTATTTTTTCTTTGATATTTCTATGAAAGTTTAAAAAAAATGGTGGGTAAAAACACAGTTGTATGTTAGAGACGCTATGTGCTTCTAGGACGCTAAAGTACCAAAATGGTTAGAGAAATACTCCAAGCATTTATAAATCGTCATGACATAGAGGCGTTGTGTTGAAGAAAAAGAAGAAAAATAACCGAAACATATCTGTATGTAGAACGCAGAGAAACACTTGCAAAGAAAATGGTAAAAGTATATTGCCATAAAATACAGGTGTTATGGTGGCAAATCTTTTGTTGATGTAGTGTATCGGTGGATAGTGTGAATCACGTACTTAATTGCGACATGTGGCGAATGTAGATCGCCGCGTACGCACCGTCATACCGAAGAATGTATGAGGACGTACAGTATCTTACCTGAGTTCAATGGGTCTCAACGAGTGCGCGGCTAACCGTTCGAGCATATACATATTGGGCGCGTGCAGCGGGTGCCGTTCGAGCCGTAGTGCTGCACCCGCCACACGTAGTACCACGCCCGCTAGGCCTGCACCGCACATCACTTGCTGGTTGCGTTCACTGCACAACACATTTAATTTAAACTAGTTCAAACTCAAATAATCATTATTCAATCGGTAAGCAAATTACAGTCGATTTCAGTCGCATCGATTAAATTCATTCGTAAGGCAGATTCCCCTGAGATTTGGTCTGCTTGTCGGTTTTTATCTGATACATTATGGAGAGTGTGAACAGGAACTACAAATTAGTTTCACCCTCACTGTTCCTCTATTCGGTCGTAAAGAAAGGCTAGATCTCTTCATTCTTATATTTTGGATACGACCCATTTGCAAGAAGCGCTTTGCTTCCTCATTCAAAAGGAATGCAGTATACCACATGTATTTACCTAAAACTACATTTTATAGCTCTTCAAAGCTAGAATGAGTAGGTATTTCTTAGACAAACGCAAAGGGAAGGCAGAAATAGTACAATAATTAATTACTAATGAGTCGATCATTACAGGATCTGTCAAGTTCATGGCGATCAAGGCAAACTATATTTAAATCATACTAACCTTCGTACAAGACTCTTCAGTACATGCGCAAGATAGTCCCTCAGTGCTCGTGCATACATCTCGTGTTCCGCAGGTCGAGGCAACGCGGGTAATAACTTTGCAAGCACGATCACTACACCTGAGTGTACCACCCACGCTTCGCCACTGTTTGACCCCGTTGAGAGGTTTAAGGGAGCTGTTCGCCCTGCTGGCTTTGTCTGCAATATATACACATAAGTAGAAATAAAGTTTATTTCCATTTTAATTTATTAAAAGGATGGCAATCATTGAACGATAGGCGTTTTGTCCTCTTTATATTTGTTTATTTTGTGTCTGCTACGAATTTCTTAGTGTCTCATGACTATCTTCGTATATCCGAATGCACACTAATACACATTACTCGTTTAGTAATTATAACATTTATCATCCATACTTTATTGTTTGTTTTGTGTTGAATTCCATAACTAGAACATAAAACTACATAGAGCTATAAAACTATTTCCGTTTTTATAATGACATTTATTTCTTAACAATATGCCAAGCAAGTTAACGATAATATAAACTAAATAGAGTTCTTTTATGAATGAATCTTAGGGTCGTATTCTAGAACTCTACTCAATGCTCAAATCAGGATTGCAATGGAAACACAAGCACTGGAAATACGACCCTAATGGCAGGTACTTGAGTATGATTTCGAGTACTTTAAACCATACTCAAATCCTGACTTGAGCATTGAGTAGAGTTCTAGAATACGACTCTTAGTCTTTTTCTGGTTATTAATCTTTACAATTCGGTTAGAATTTGAAACTATTTTTTCATCTGATATAGATAAAGAGTAGTAGCTACTTCATATACTTTCAAGTCGTCCGGTCTGCACCAAAGGGCAACTTATAGAAATCCGATGACAGCCGAAATGCGAAGACTGGAGAGAGATATTAAGAAAATTGTTACACGTTATTTCTTTCTAAATCTCTACATACATAGATAAATATTTCAAGTAATTTAACACTACATGCAATTGTGTATACATGCGGATTGTCACCCTTAAATAGTATTACTTTTAATATTACGCGATCATCACTTGCTTTAATATAGGATGAAACGTCACGATAAAAATTTTTCACGATTAAACTATAGTACTTAGTACAAATAGTGGATACACAAGTTAGGGCACCGATAGTACATAACTTTTCGAAGACCTATAAAATCTTCAAATCAAATTGGGGCCTGTCTCTTTACAGGGCACGTACTTTGTTTTTTATCAAAACACTCACCTCATTTATAGCGGAACTCTGTCTAGTGAGACTCGGAGATTTTACATTGAGTGATCCGCAAAAAGTAGGTTTATCAAACGAGTCCAATACGACATCGTACAGTAGTCTCAACACAATACACGCATGCACAAACACCATTGGAACTCTTTCTGGAAATCTGGAAAACATTATAGTTCATTTTATCATAATTGCTCTATGTTTTTAAACAGTATTTTATTGTTACGAGTTCAAAAAACTAATTTGTAGAATAAAACAGTTTACCATCACTAAGTGCCATTTTAAGTTTTCGATCCTATTTTTCTTTAGAAAAGAAAAATAACTTACGTCATTTCCAAAATATTTCCAGTGAATATCTCATGAAATACTTCATAGAGCGCCGGATCGCCGACTTCTGTATCATTCAGGAGTTCTCTATCGTCGGTGAAACATCCCAATAGGCGTATTGTTTCGCACAGTGTTGTCATGCATATCTAATTAATCAAAGACTAAAGTTATCTTAAAAAATACTTTGTGTATAACCTGTAAGGCTAGCATGACAGGACACTATTTTTTTTTATAATATCAAGTGACGAGTCGAACAAGTTGTGCGCCTTATGGTATGCTACACGCCTTTGCACGAGAGCGACATAAAACGCGAGATCTCTATGCGAGAATAGCAATATCTCGCGCTTTACATCGCTCTCCCGCAAGTCGTCTTTATCTTTATCTTTTAATGTCACTATTCACTCGTCACGGGCGGTGCTATGGTAATAAATTCGTTCTCATATTAATAGTGCAAGTTAAAAAACATGCCATTGTACAAAATTTATTTTCATTTCTCAAGATTCTACAATAACTAAACAACGAAAACAAGTATACAAACCTCATGATGAAAAAACTTAGCATTGGCAGGCTCAAATCTCATAGCCGTGCTTATGGTGTAAAAGACAATGTGTATCAGTTGCAGCGTATCCTTGTCTATGGGCTCGTCGCCATTTAGTTTACCATCTAATGAAGCTAGTACGCTGGTGACGTAGACGAAACCGCTGACCTGCGAAAATGGTTTTTTATATGCATTTAAAAAACAATACGTCTTATGAATATGTTCTATTTTTTATTTAACTCGTCAGTAAGCCAGCGTAATACAGAAAAACGATTCAATCGTACTGTTCGCAGTCTCAAACTTATCTCAATGACTGTAGGAACAATGAGAGTTTAGAGAGCAAGTACAGTGTAGGGTGGTCTGATTTTATTTAGGATACCAACAAAATGTTGTAGTATAGTTTAATTTCACGTTCTAGGCTCTAATATCTGGGCTTGTGGTCTGCAATTTAGCCTCAATTTATATAGTTACAAATTACGCGGACTCAAATACTTGGTAATTTAAAACAGAGTCATTTTGATATTTGTACCAAGACCCTTGAAAAGACGATGAATTCTTTATTATTAAAACTTTATTAACGCATCCTAAATGTAAATGTTTGAATAGTGTCAAACTACTAAACAAATAATAATTCAGCACAGGAATTAATGTTGTAAGGATGTTATAAAATACTCAACACACGGCCTGGTTAAACTATCCTCGTAAGGCGCATATCTATTGAAAGTAAAATTCGTATGCAACAGAAACAGGACGAGAAAAAAAGAATCCGAAACCTACCTTCCTAAATATAGTTCTAGTTCGATGCGAGTCCCTGAGACAGGCCAGCAAAGCCTTCAATATGTGTAGTTTTAATCGTAACGCATCATTAGGCGCCGCGTGCATGCCACATAATAGAGCTGACATATCTTCCTCGCCCGAACCACTAACTATTAATTCTCGTATCACACCTGGCAACAAAAAAATATTTTTAAGGGAAAATTAACCACTTCTTGCGTTTTGGTTAGCTGGTCAACACTCACGTGCTTTAAATCGCAAAAATCTTAGGGTCACTGCCACTGCGCCAGTAGTATCACCAGCAACCTTGCTATTCCAAACCGGAACGCAGTAATGTTCACATTACTGCTTGGCGGAAATGGGTAAGGTAGCAATACTTCCCTGGACAAACTTATCCACAAGCGATTCTACTGCTACTAAACATCCTCTCATAAAGTAATAACAGGAGTTTCTTCTACAGAGAGGTACGACCCCTTGGGAGATCAAATAGTAGCGTTTATGCTGATTAGAATTTAGAAAGTTCATTTCCCAAATTGATCCTGGCGGGAATCGAACTCGAGCTGTGCCCACAGTGCAAACAGTTGGGTCATCGATATATTATACAGAATCTGGTTTTTACCTATTATTATTATATTCTGGTTTTATCTGGTGCTTATAACTCAAGTTCAACTCAGCTTTCAGCTCAACTTGACCTTTTCTACTTAATGACTTTGGTGGGACTTTCTCAGATATTCCTTATCACCTAAGTTAGTATATACGCTACTATTTGATCTTCCAAAGGTGTTGTACCTCTGTATAGAAGAAACTCCTGTTATTACTTTATGAGAGAGTGTTTAGTAGCAGTAGGGCCCCTTGTGGAAGAGTTCATTAACATTAAGCTTACCTAAAGCTTTGCTCCTACAAGTTTCGTATACAACCATTCCATGAACGCATTTCGCGCCACCGCAATCTCTAAATACGTTACAATTGTTCGAATTGCTATTCAAGAGAGCTGTTAACCCTTCCATTACTAAAGAACCCAGTTCTTCTTCTTCCTGGTCTACATTCGGATCTCTTATTAAGGACTCTGCTCGTAAAGCTCGTTTTCGTCTTTCAGGAACTTTAGGAGAACCAGTATAGTTGTTTAAAGATTCTCTTTTGTTTCTTTCCTCTTCGATTTGTTTGTCCTTTAGAAAAGCCGCGTACCGTGATAGACATGTGACAAATACTTCCAGCATGCCTACTTCTCGATATACGTCTTTGAATATTGCATTATGCCTGGAAATAATAATAACATACACGCACTTATTCACTTAACTGAAAAAGCTATTAGTGTTGCTAATGTCATGTCAAGCGTTTACTAAATATAATAAGATTAAAAGTATCATACATAATATATTGCTATCTATTAGCATAACATTATTACCCAATATTATATTACCCATTGAAGTGCACACTAGAATAGGGACACTAGTATTTTTTCGTGTAATACTTACTTTAAAATATTAAGAAGTGTTTTAATACACAACATGCTGCAACTTCTCGATCTATTTGCCTTCAGTAACAAAGACAGTGATATCAGTTCCTTGCACGGCACAAAATTCAATTGGAAAACTATAAATTCAAGCAATTCAAAGAATTTCTCTTGAATTTCTGCATTTTTTGTATGGATTCTTTCCGAAAACTGACTGAGTGTGTTCTGGTTTTCTAAAATGAAGTAATTGGCGTTGTCGGCGTGGTAAACGCTCGATATAGCATCTAGAATTGTGCAGCATAGGGCCGGCGAATTCGACTTCAGGAATACTGATTGTAACACCTGGAAATAAAATCGTGAGTTACATGAAGCTGATATAAATTAGAAATTAAACAATTTTTTCGGATCTAAATCACGTATTGTTTGTATTTTCAAACAAACCAACGATACGGGCCCTTTACAGGTCCCATGGTCGTAGCTGACGTCGGTCAGAAAAGCACACTGACCATCCAAGTCAACCTTTCCAAGAATTAAATATATATTATGTCTCACGGCTATGAGACACGGAGAGAAAGTATTGTCCTCTCTTTAGAAGAAATTCGTGTCCAGTGGTATTTGGGTTGTACATTACAATTCTGTCTTATAATGTGATAACAATAGTTGAATTTTATACCTGAAAAGCCTGTACATTTCTCACGGCCTGTCCGGTAGCCGATGGCTGGGGCAGCACGAAGCCCTGCAGCTGAAACAGCTCTGTATTCGCTCGCGTAGGCCGCAGTTCTGAGAAGCCGCACGCGCACAGCGACGAGATCATCAGTACTAGATTGCGGAGGGCTGCTCGTGCTTCTGTACCACTCACACGTTCTTCCTCCAACCTATGATATGATAGAGAATCAAAGACATGTCGAGCATAGTTATATGAACATACAATCGTGATAGGTAGCCATTGGTTGAAATTAAAAAAAAATGTTAATTCGCTTTTTTAAAGTATTATGTCACGGTTCTTTGTCAAACAATATTTTTTGTATATTTGTGTCAAAACCTCAATGTTTTTTACTGTAACAATAGGAGGTAATTAAAGTAAGAAATTACCGTTCCGTTCGAAAAAAATTTTAGTAAATAATATTATTATTAATACAAAGATCGAACACTCAGAAAAAATTCCTTCGATCCGGTCGAATTCGAGCCGACGTCTTCTTGCATACCGTGCCAGACGCTATACCAACTAAGCCACGGAACGAACCAACGGACCTCACGAATTTCTCTATGTGCTTGCGTCGTGTCTTTGTACTTGGTCTTTCAACGACTTTTTAGTCGTAGCGCCATCTATGACAAATCTATTACAGATTTGTCATATAATATTCATTTAATAAAAATTTGCACGTGTACTATCAACGAACTGTGGCCACATTACGCCCTTGGCAATCATCATAAAGAATCCATTGTTCATCACAAATAATGACAGTCTAAAACTCCCTAATTGTTAAAGTTAGTGCAAACTTCAACGCACATTACCCGTGGTATTTTGAAAACTCGTGTGGTACCATTTTTCAACTTCCTTATTAACCGATTTATAAAAAGGAGGAAGGAGATTTTCAATTTCACTGTATTATTTTTGTGTATGCTACGTGACTACTCCCGACATTTGTAAACCGATTTCGATGATTCGTTTTTGTTGAACAGGGGGTAGTGGTCCCATTCAAATTTAAAGTGAATATTTTTCCTTTAAAGGTGGACAATAGGAGAGTGAATGAGAATTATTTCAATAAAACTTGGGAAATAAATATGTAATTCCCCAAAGTTTTGGGTCGGATTTTTTAAATATTAAAAAAGTTATAATTATTTTACAGATTGTGCGCAAGTAGGTTTCTAATGAGGGGTATGGACCAAACCATGCTGCTAATTCGTCCGCAGTTTGCGATGACTTGACTTCAATAACAAATCGCAACACGTCTACGAGGTTCATTTGCCAGAATAAAATTTTTCCACTACGGCGATTCCGTAGCAAACGAAAAAGGCACAGTGCGTTCGTTATTGTATGCGCTCCGTACATGTGGTTAGTGTTTGGAGTTGCTCAGCACTAGGGCTGCTCATAATTCGTATTCAAAATTTACACAAATTTTAGCATTCATTAGTCATGTTTGAATTTGTATAATTAGTAGAATTTCATACCTGAATGGCTTGTACATTTCTCACACTACATTGTTGTGGATTGAAATATAATGCACAAGTAACCAAAACAAAAACACACATTTGTGAAGTTTCAAATCTAATTCTTACACAAAGGTAATTCTCGGTAGGACCAATTTGGCCACATGAACGTTTCTAAATTGGATGCTGATAAAACATAATCACTTTTACGAAAAAAGCACCTAAAATCTTTTCGTTGTTATTGAATGATAATTTTATTACTCTCACAAGGCTTACTTAAGAGTAAAATACAGAGTGTTGTACTATTCTGCACATTGTGAGAGTCTGGTGTCAGTACTAGGATTACATGCCTATATGACTAATCACCAGACTCGCTCCCTCTAGGCTAATTATTAATTCCAGCTCGGAGAAGCTTTGCAAAAGTTAAGTAGAATAGTAATAAAAAGTTATAAGTAGGTAAGAAAATTCTAAACACAGACTAAGTTGTGTGTTTCAGTGTCGGGGGAGCGCGGGCGCGCGTGCGTGTGTGTTTGTGTGTGTGTTCGTGCATGTGTGCGTGTGTGCTTACGTGCGAGCGTGCTTGTGTGTGTGCCTTCGCGAGTATGTGTCTTCTCAGTAGAAAAGTGGTATCATTTCAAATTGGTGTCCTAACATTAGATTTTGATGTTGACACAATCTACACATATCATAGACCTACGAATGGTTAAAGACCTGTTCTTGGGATCGCACGCCAACTGGTGTGATAGTCATTATGCACTATGTGTGGTAGTGTATGTATGTATTGATAATGTATTATAAAATTAACTTATAAAATGAAAACCTTTGCTGTTGTCACTTTGGTGAATTGTACTTATTTATTACTATAATTCCACGACAACAACAAGCACAACAGCAAAACTTTCAGTTTATAAGTAAATTTAGAATAAACTTTCATAAACAACGAGAAAATCTTTATTGCTTATCAGCATCCAATTCGTTCTAATGTGGGTGTTCTGAGAAGTGACCCAGATTGAATTCCGTTGCCCAGGTGTAGTTAAAGAAATATTATTTGCACCGATGAATGTTATCTCTTGGAACGGCTTATCCTTTCTATTACAATAGGGCAATAAAGCCATGAACACTTCTTTTACTTATAAGCGTACACGGATTTAACGCTCTTGGTCCATCGCACCAGTCATGGGTGCGCAAAATGCTTTTTCTGAATATTAGTTTTCAATTATTTATTTACTCAACAGGTGTTTTTTTTTAACAGTAGGTACTTCGTAAAACACCGACTGCCGACTCTTTTCTTACTAATTCGACGTTATTTACGCATAAATATTATCAAGTTTAGAATTAAGTGCCAATCCGGTATTTAAACTAGTTGTTAGCACTATACAGATGGCACGTGCGTTACCGACACGGTTCACTCTTTTGTCCTATTGTACTCTAAAATACGTTAGTAGTGAAGCGATAAGACGAATCAGTGCAAATAATATTTCGCCAACTATACTCATAGCACAGGGAATTCAACAGTTTGAAATCAGGCAATTTGTGTACTTATGTGGCACATTATTATTATTATATTATAGGTTCAGTCATCGTTATTTGAAGAAATCCATATTAAAGAAAATGGATGTATATTACTTGCTTACTCTGCGAATCCAGTGAAGGTTAAATTGTGCAAATTAGCTGCTCTTCTGTTGAATAATCCTGTATGGAAAAAAACATTCTACACAATTTAGCCTTCGCTGAGTTCGAGTAGTACACAAAATAATTTATTTCCGTTTTGTTGGATATTTCTGTTCTCGATACTCTAAGACGCGTCTGAAAGTATCCTTAACGATTTTGGAACTGTAGCGTCCTAGAGTCACACGGTGTCTCTAACGATTTTGGCATTGTAGCGTCCGAGAGCCACACGTGCCTCTTAACGATTTTGGCATTGTTGCGTCCGAAAGTCACATGGTATCTCTAACGATTTTGGTATTGTAACGTCCGAGAGACACACGGTGTCTCTAACGATTTTGGCATTATAGCGTCAGAGAGTCACACGATGTCCCTTAACGAAATTGGTACTGTACCGTTCTAGAGAAACGCGGTGTCTCTAACGCGCTGTGGTATTTTCAACCATCATTTTGAAAAAAAAATTACCTAAACCCAAAATGGTACTTACCTATTTTACTTCAAGTTCCTCTAGAAACGCCAGAACTGCAGTATTATACTTTTTACAGTACTTGGCAGTATTAACGGATTATCAATGTAGTATGAATAATCGGAAGGTGTCACTCGCGGCAATGTGTTGTATATAAACAGAACCGTGACACATATACAAAAGATCATTAACACATCCTCATACATCTAATGTTATTATAATAATATGTCATCATAAAAGCGGTAGAGCATGTAGGTATCTTTATTATAAACAGATATAAATCTCCGTCAGTTATAAAGGCAAAAAAAAATAGATTGACGAGCTTAGCATATATAATTGTATAATTAAATGAAATATTGAATATGAAATAACATTAAAGCGTGCTGACAATGGCTCATTAACTATATTAACTAACACTCACGAAAAAAAATACAAAAGAAATGAAAAACAAAAAAAAATTGTGTCCAGTGCTTACCCTGGTGTCAAATAATCGGGCACGTCTTTGTTTTCGTGTCTGTTGAACGTAAACAAAACATAAAACAACACAAAATTAAAACAACAAAATTAAAATAATCACTAAATACTCAAAGCGCATGCTATTTACATCTTACGTTTACGTTACCATTTATTTAAACTTACTTGAGTAGGAATTCCGATAGAAATAGATATCCCTGACAGGATCGAAAATCATCTAGTAATAACTGACTAACTTCACTAGAATCCTTTAGGAAACAAAATACTGCCACGAACATCTCCACGACCTGCAATTTGGGAAAATAACAACTCATTTGTTATAGTAATTAATACAACGATTGAACACTAACAAAAACTCCTTCGATCCGGCTGGATTCGATCCAGCGACTTTAGCATACCGTACCGACGCTCTCCAGACTGAGCTACGGAACGAACTAATAGACCTTATCAATTTTTCTATGTGATTGTTGCAGATCTTTGATTTTGGTTTTTAACTACTTTTTTACCCTTTTTTAACAGTGACAAATGTATGAGTTTTTCTTTAGCGTTGGCACGGTATCCTGAAGGCACTGGTTCGAATCCAACCAGATCGAAGGAATTTTTGTTTGTGTTCGAGATTAGTATTAATAATTATAACGAACTAGAGGAGTAATCCAATTTGCGTATTAATAAATTATAACAAACTAGTGGAGTAATATCACAAAAATAATTGAATGTCATGATAGTAAAGCACTGTGTTATTTAATAAACTTATAACAACGAAATTTTTATAATGCGGAAAGAATCTATTTGTTAATTTGGGCTGTTAAAAACATGAAAATCACGCAAAATACTTAAAACTAGTGCAAACGAATCGTCGGCTAATGTTAACGTAATTAAAAGCGACCATGATTTTACAAAGACAAAGTACTCAATAACATCAGAATGTAATTTAAAAATCTAAGATAACCTCCAAAGGCTCCGTGTACATAAAAATGTACATAATACGTAAAGTGATACAGACCCACACAATGTTATTCCTACGATCACGTAAACACGCAGTGTAAATTATATTGAAAATACCGCATACAAAATTAGCACAGATACCATAAATCTAGAAGTATAAAATTCATACAAAACTGAGGACGTATTTGTTTGGGCCTGAAGCATGTAGTTATATTTAGTACATTCTAAAGTACATTGTGCGTTTAGCGCTTTTCCCATTC